AGTATTCCCCTTTCTTCTTCTGATAACTAAATAAATATGGGCCACCCAGAGGAGGTCTTGGTCTTAGCCCCAAGATAATCTTGAATTCTGGGAGAGGGCTTTGATCTCTTGGAGCCCTGAAATCATTCTTTTTGCCTCTTTTATTTAGCCTTTGCCATACACTTGTTTGGGAGATTGTGGACCTGATCAGTCCGTAATAACTAAGTGATATTATTAACCCAACTGGGGGGTGGTCTTCCTAAGTCACTAAGTTGCCCAGGCTGAGCTCAAACTTGCAATCCTCATGCCTCAAGAATGCTGGGACTGCAGGTCTGTGCCACCAAGCCTAGCATGCATTGGTCATTTTTAAAACATGAGTTCCATTTGCCTGAGATCTTCAGGGTTCCCAGTGGACCCGGGTTGAGGATGTACTTCTCTAGAAGTGTCTGCTGTCTCCAGCCCCCTATGGGTGTTATAACCTGGCAGCTCTGAAGTTTAACTTTCCAACCTGAGTTTTCCTGGCCACTCTTTGTAGTACACGTTGAATGTGAAAACAGAGGTGTAATTACAAATTCTTGGAGGATCCTTTTATAAATGCCTTTGTCCATTCAGAACTGAAGCTCCGATAGACAAATTATGTTTGTGGTTTCCTGTGTTGGCATTTGTCATTAGAATGCATACCCGAAGGAATCAGCTTTTGAAAAGGAGAGGTTTATTTTGTGGCACTTTTGGGGGCTGGAGTCGTGATCTGGCGGCCTTGTTGCTTGTGGGCCTCTGGTGGAGGCCAGCACCTCTCAGCAGGAGCACATGGCAAAGCAAAACCATTTCCTGGTGGCCAGGGAGCCAAAGAGAACAAAAGAAGCCAGGGTCCCACAGCCCCCTTAAGACCACACCCCCAGTGACTTCCACCCTCACCCCTTGGTCCCACCTCTTTTTTTTTTTTTTTTTTTTGTTTTTTTTTTCTCTGGTACCAGGAACCGAACTCACGACCTTGCGCTTGCCAGGCAAGCACTTTTGCCGCTGAGCTAAATCCCCAGCCCCCTGGTCCCACCTCTTAAAGTGTCCACTCCCCAATAGCACCATGCTGAGGGCCAAGCATCCAACGCATGGATCTTTTGAGGACACTCGTGATCCAAACCATCACATTTCCTTTCCCTGGCTGGACCTTAGACAAATTACTTAAAATTTCCTGGTCTCAATTCAAAATTTATTTCATGGGTTTCTTGTGCACATTAAATAACATAATGCATATGACATGCTTAAACTGTGTGTGGCATAAATTAAGCATTCAGCTGGGCCTGGCAGTGCACACCTGTAATCTCAGCACTTGGGAGACTGAGGCTGGAGGATCACAGCGAGTTCGAGGCCAGCCTGGGCTACATAGTGAGTTCAAACCCAGCCTGAACTACACAGTGAGACCCTATCTCCGCACCCCCTGCTAAAAAAATTAGGCATTCAGTATATGTTCTTTTTTGTTTTGTCATTTATATGGCAAGACCTACATCCAAAACAATTAGGGAAGATACAAAACAGAGTATGAATGGATGTTGATTTACATGGTGAGGAAGCTACCCCAGAATGTGTGGAATATATCATTTTGGGGAGCGAAGGCTGAAGAGACTCCTCTATTTTTCTGAGCCCTCAGGAGAGACACACCTCTCCTTTGAGGTTTTCTTCTGCTGTCCTAGAACAAGACCAGGATTGTGGAATCTCATGACTGACAGAATGTTGGTGTTGATATTTAGTGGAAAAGTCGATTCACCAGTGCACTTACCTGCTCAGGCTGATCATGGATGCTGCGGGCCCGGGTGGACTCCATGAGCCTGAACCCCGATCTGGGGTGTGTCCAGTTGGCCAGGGTGGCCCTAACAAAGTGCCGCAAGCTGAGCAGTGCAAACAGAAAAATATATTAGCTCACGCTGCTGGAGGGTGGAAGTCTGAGATCAGAGCATCTGCGAGGCCATGTTCCCTTTGAAGGCTCTAGGGACAGGTCTGGCCCAGGCCTTTCTCCTGGCTTCTGCAAATTCCTTAGTGCTCATCGCAAGGCGTTCTCCCTGTGACCTCAGTCACGTTGGACTGACCTCCTCTGAACAAATTACACATGCATGGCAATATTTCCAAATAAGGTCACGCTCAAGGTACTGGGGTTTGAACTTCAGCACATGAATTTCAGGGGAGGGACATGTGCCGCCCAGCCAGTTATGGAGACTCTGCCCGTTCCCTTGCTCACCTCTTCTCCTGCTCACCCCTAGCTTCTCCTTCTCCCCCTCCACGCACTCACGGCTTGATTGAAACGTGTCTCTTTCCCTGGAAAACTGAACCCATTTCTCAGTCTCTCCACTCACACAATGAGATGCTCTGGGAATAGATGTCTCCAAATCTGTCTGTGGAATGGTATCAGAGTCAGAGAAGGCCCTGAGTAACAGGGATGAGGCACTTAGTGTGTGCTGCAACAAAGCGGGCCTCTCTGAATCTTCACATCCCTCGTAAGCAGTATTCGACCCACTCTAAAATAAGGCTCAGAGACATTAAGTAACTTACCTAAAATTGCACCATCAACAAATGATGCAGCTAGAAATAGGATGAGGGGGTGGTCAAATGTTGTCTTATTTATCCTTGCGATTCCAGCACTTGACACTTGAATAATGAGATACTGTTTGAACCCAGCTCTTTCCATTTCAAAGCTTCCCACCACCTTCTCTGCTATACTGGTCGCAATGGCAAGGAAAGGCAGCAGCTGTGCTGTCAGGCAGAGCATCCTGTCACCACGTGTCCTTGTTCAAATCACAAACTGGCCTTGTCCCGCTGTGCATATCTAGCACTGTCACTCTCACTACTGACCTTTCAAAACCACTATTATTTATTATGGCCTGGGTTGACACAAGGTCACATGACACATGGAAACACATGGAATACACATGGAAAGGACCAACCATGTTGGCTGGTCCATGCAGCCCCGTGCAACATGTAAGTGCAAAGGAATTCTGAGCTAGACTCCTTCTGAGTACCAGTACCAGTGCCTTCCCTGGGACTGCACAGTCCGCTTCAGGGGCCTTCACAGCACCTCTTTGGAAGAGTAGCCAAGTCTCACACCTGCCACCATATGCCTTATCACTTGGCTCTCTGCCCATCCCACCCCTGGGAAAGGAGAAAAGGGACACACAGAATACTGGAAATGAATGATGGAAGTTCTCCTCCTTTGACTGAGATACTTTGAGGCAAAGATGAGCTGATAACCTCCACCAGTGCCCTGGACTAAAGGACAAGTATGCTTCTAGGAGATACCTAAGACAGGCACATCCTTTTATGCAGGTAAAGCAGGGTCGGGGTGCAGGTTTAACAAGGTCGTGGTAGTTGTTTGCACTTGGCCTACCTGGGGACACTAGGGCGCAATCACAGGAGGGTGACCCGTACCATTTTTTTGTTGTTGTTTTTTTCCGGTACCGGCACTCGAACTCACGACCTCGTGCTTGCCAGGCAGGCACTTGTGCCGCTGAGCTAAATCCCCAGCCCCTCCGTACCATTTTTCTATGTTCACCGCTGGTCTACTCAATTGTCAGGCCAAATTCCCATCCACCTCACCCTGAAATCCTGGTCTTCTGGATTGGGAACTTCAAGTGAGGTTGGAAATAGTAGATCTGAGAGATGAATGAAAAAAAAGGATGGAGAATGTTCAAATGAGAAAATAGATCACTCTTTGAGACATGTTTTCTTCTAATGCGAAGATGAACACTAAAGCAACTCTAAAGGAGACTCAGTTTTCCTTTAGAGTGAAAGGAGACTCAGTTTTCTGACTTTTTTCCCGGGTATGAGTTAGAGTTGCACAAACTCAAGAGTCGCAGGAACTGCTGGTCTCCTCTTCTACACGGACCCAAGTCGTTGCTCTTGCTGCTGACTGCAGAAAGCCAGGTCTGGGCTCCGAGTAGCTGAACGATGCAGGGCTAGGGTTGGGTCCTGAACCTAGGTCTCCTTGCCCTAGTCCTGGCTCTCAGCTGTGCTTGGGCCTCGGCAGACACCGCGCCCGTGCCCGCCGCGGTAGGGCTGAGCATCTAGGAGCTGCTCCCTCAATGCTCCTTCCCGAGGGTGCTCTGAACAGCTCTGGAGAAGCTGGCACACTGGCCTGGGACAGGAGGCTCTAGCCACGTTCCCAAATGTCCACGGGACACAATCACCTATCCTGTGAGCCAGAGTGCTGCCAGAGTGCTAAAACGACGCACAGGGAAGTGACTTGTCCAGCGCCACCCAGCTCAGCAAAAGACTGCCTGCAGATAAGTAGTCTGGTACTTTTCCCACCTCACCTTGCTCTTCTCTTTCTTAAAAAGAAAAGGACTCCCCCTTTAGGGCAAAGGCGCCTCAGCCGGGAGCATGGAAGGCGGCCCATCCCATCACGACTTTGCAGCGTCTCCGTTCCCTCCTCTAACCCAGCAGCAGCTGGGGCAGAACCAGGTCTGGCTCACCTCCTGAGCTTTAGAGTTGCACATCCGCTGGAGTTTGTAGGGACCGCGCTAGCCATGTCTAACAACAAAGGGTTCAAGGCTGTGCCCACTTGTTAATCTGGGGGGAAATTGTGGGATTTAAAAACATACTCAATTTTGTGCACACATATAAACTTAAGCCCCTGCTCGAACCCCCCAGCATCTCTGGCAGGGACAGGCGAAATACCCAGCCCTTCTCTGCCTCTGGGTCACTCTAGAGTGGCTTTGCTTCTCTTCTGCTTCCCATAAATGCAAACCCTCCCCAAGGCCACGACCCCTAGGGAAACTAGATCTTCAGACCTACGGACAACCTCTCTAGCCCCGCGGGGATCTCAGGACGCGACTGTGATCGGATTTCGCGTGGCCGCCCAGCTTCCTTACCTCGGGTCCCCCTCCCACCCGAGGAGCCCGGAGCCAATCAGAGCGCCGCGGAGCTCGGGGAGGTGGAGTCCCGAGCCTGGGCCCCGCCCCTCTTTGTTGCGGCGGCCAATGAGCACCTTCGGAACATCGGCGGCTGCCCGGGTGACTCGGTTATATGTCACAGAATAACATTCGAGAATGGGACATGGAATGAGGGGACGGCCGCCGCAGCCCCAGCAGTGGCAGCCCAGGGCCGGGCAGCAGCAACCCTCGCCGCCCGCAATCCCCGGAGAGGCTCGACCGCAATGAAGCGCGCTGCCCGCAGGTGGGTCCCCCACGCCGAGCGCGTCCCTCGCCCCTCGGGTGCCGGACTCGGGACTCCAGAGAAGGGGGCGAGGGGCTTCTTCTCCTGGGGCTGGGGCCGCCCCTTTCTCCCGCCGAGGTCAGGGGTGGGGTGGGGGGCTTCCTGAAAAAAACCGCGCCTCCTTCACCAGCCGAGGCTGCTGCAGCGCCCGCTCCAGCCCCGGGTGCTCACGTGCCGGCGCGTTCTGGGCTCGGCTTGTCGCCCGGCCACATCTGGGGACCGAGGACGGTGTGGAGCTTTGCGGGGACCTCCTGTTCCTTCACGCGACAGGAGCTGTCTTTCTTCTGCCCACACGGTCCACTCCGGATCACCCCCCCCACCCGCCTCGCATCCCCGCCCGGGGTTTAGGTGGGTGTGAATCCTGGTTGCAAATTCCGAGCCGCTTTTCCAGCGATCGCAAGGCAGAAAGCTGGGGTTCAGAGCCTCGGCGCGCGGGATTGAGGTTGAGGGACCTGTCCCGCTTGGAGGGCAGCGGGGGGTGACCCGGGGACTCCCAGGGCCTCCACTCCCAGCCCTGCACGTTCGTTCAGCGTGTGTCTGCTCTCTCCCTGCTTCCAGGCCCGGCCCGTGAGCGGGAGCCCTCCGCGCTCCCTCTCTGCGCGTCCTGCGGCACCAGCGGCATGGAGAAGGCCACGCGCGCAGGGCGCTGATCCTTGCGCCCCCGCCCCGCACCCCCGCCCGCCATGACCGGCTCGGCGGCGGACACTCACCGCTGCCCCCACCCTAAAGGCGCCAAAGGCACCCGGTCCCGGAGCAGCCACGCGCGCCCGGTGAGCCTCGCCACCAGCGGGGGCTCCGAAGAGGAGGACAAAGACGGCGGGGTGCTGTTCCACGTGAACAAGAGCGGCTTTCCCATGGACAGCCACACCTGGGAACGCATGTGGATGCACGTGGCCAAGGTGCACCCGAAGGGCGGAGAGATGGTGGGGGCCATCAGGAACGCGGCCTTCCTGGCAAAGGTCAGTGCTTAGAGGAAGAGAGGGCCGTGGTGGGACCGCTGGGCAGCTCCCCGCTCTCCACCCCTCCCGTGGAAGCCTTGGAAGCGGGGGCGGGGCAGGTGGGGGCTTGAGGCTCTGCCCTCCATATGCTTGTGCTGTGCCAAGGTTTCTCCAGGTCTGGAACCAAACTCCGTTATTTTCTTAACCCCCTCTTGCGAAAGCTGGCGCCACCAACTAACACCCGTGAGGCCAAGAAGGGTGGATGCCCGAGGAGCCCGCCCAGCCTGTCCTCTCTGAGATCTCGCTCCTCCCCCAGCCCCCCTAGAACATGATTTATTAGGCTGTGAATGAATTTGCAGCCAACTAGTCAGACTTCTCAGTGTGAATCACTTCTAGACTTTTTGCCAATTTTTTTTTTCCGACAGTGACTTTCACCTCTGAAACTTGCAAAACAGTGAACTGTCACTTTCCAGCTTCTGTGGGCTCCAAGAAAAAAAAAAAACAGAAAAGGAAGTTTGGCTGTGGCTTACCAGGGACTTTCCAGTACACAGGCTGAATTGGTCCCTGGATGAGAGAGCAGGCTTGGGAGCGAAAGGCTCTTTTCCCCTTGGACAGGAGCCCGCAGGCGATTTGGGCCTGGCGGCCTGAGGATGTGTTACTAGCAGAGGGAGGGGCCCCTGGTGGGAGTAGCTGTGTTACATAAAATAGCAGGATGCGCACTGGGGAGCCAAGCTGCCGAGCCCGGTTACCGTGGGGTGGATGGTGTCCCCCTAGGCCCTGGCTACCCTGGCACGGCTCCCGAGATTCCCACACAGGTCTAGGAATGCCACACCTGAGACCTGGAAAGCCATCTGGTAGAGTCCCCAGCCCGGTGACAGCTGAGCATCTGAGCCCGCAGGCTATGAGGCTGTGTGCCCTTGGGGAAGTGACAGCCTCCACAACTTCCTGCTGCTCAGTTACGGGGTTTCATTACCCTACTGGCCACGGAGAGCGTCATTAAGCCGGCCGGGCGCCTGTCCGCTTGAGTGTCAGCCCTAATGACCTGTGCCTAGTCCTGCAGCGCCCGCCGCCCTGTTTCTGGGCTGCAGAATCTTCATTTACACGAGGCACCGCAGCCCTTACATCTGGCAGGGGTGGCGGCAGGGACCAGCGGCCTGATGCGCGGTTCCCTGCTGCCTTTTGGCCTCACCCTCAGCCTAAATTGCCTCCTTGTGTGGCGGACCCCTCTCCCTTTGAGAATCATGGACTCAGTATTGCTCAGATAGTCTCCCACATCCCAGCCGCATCCCTGCCTCTTTCTGAAGGCCTGGGAATGGGGGGCTCCCTGCTTGAGGGGCAGGTGCAGGCAGTGCCAGACCATGCCAGGGTGGGGCGGGGGAAGCTGTTCCCTTAGACTGAACAGGAACACCCCCCCAGCCACATCTTACCGCCAGTTCTTGCGCGGCCCTTAGAGTCGGACTCGTGTCCGTCCACTCTCTTTGCTTCCACAGCAACCTTGGTGCCACCAGACAATGTTCCTATGGTAGGAGAGCAGCAGAGGGACTGAATTCTAGCCCCACTTGTGTGCTACTTTGAGCCTGGTGGCCAGGTCATTCACTTCAGGTCTCTAGCCTTTTCTTTATACAATGGGAGTAGACCAGATTTCATGCACTGTTCTTTCTAACTGTAAAGTCTCATGGTGCTCTGACCCATGAGTCTCTGGGTCTCTAATGCTGATCTGTGACACTAGGGGCCTCAGAACTGCAACACCTGTCACTCCACAGCTTCTGCTAGTCTTCTCCATCCACAGGTGGTGCCTTTCATCTTTTCTAGGACAGTTGCTAGTTGTCATTAGTCAGTCCCCTAAAATGCGCTCCTGTGAAACACAGCATTCCCGTTGTCCGAGCGGCTCGGAACACAGATTTCTTTTTCCTGAGGCCTGCACCTGCTGCTTTCCGAGAGCGGAGTGCTGCGCCCTTGTCAGTACAGTGGCCCCATCACACTACTCTCCCGGTGGCCCGAAGGTCACGGGGAAGCAGCTGCTTAGCCGGGACTCCAAAGCCCGGTCGCTTGTGAACCTAGACCAGGAGCTCAACCTTGCTCTGTTGTCTACTCACCTCCATGGTGGTTCTCCGTCCGCAGCGCCATCACGGCTTCACGGGACCCACAAACCTTGCCCCTGCCCAGCCCTGACATGGGCACAGTCCCAACGACCTCCTGCAATGGGGGCTCAAGCTAGCTCACCAAGTCCTTTCCTCCTTCCCTCAGCACACGTCTTGCTGAGCCTTGTACTGCAGAGGGCTGCTGGGCTGAGGTGGAGGAGTGGAGAGTTCCAGGAGGAGGAGCCACTGTCCTCAGCTGAGTGGGGACTAAGAAGGCACAGGGGAGCCGGCCGTGGTGGCTGGCACACTCCTGGTGTACTTGGGAGGCTGAGGCAGGAGCACTGCTGTGAGTTTCAGGCCAACCTGAGCTGCATAGTGAAAACCTGTCTCAAAAAGAACCCCTCCCCCAAAAAAGGCACAGGGAAGATTCCAAGGGCTGGGGGCACAGGACATCCTGTTAGCACCCATGGTGGGTTCTGCCTGAAGATCCAGATGTCTCCTGTGGGCTGGGACAGGAGAATTCCTCTGCTCCCAAACCTGTGACTGCAGGCCTCTTCCTTGTGTTTCCTGAGACTGAAGTTAGCGCTCGACTAGTCAAGTCCAGGGCTTTGCCGGGGTCATTTAAGAAAACAACAAGAATCTTTGGAGGATAACAGGAGAAGGGAGGGGCCAAGCACGACCACTTGGCGTAGAAGAAAACACTTCGTTTTGCCCTCCTGGCTGGGGAGGACTTGGCCAAAAACTCCGCGGATTCAGCAGGAAACAGCGGGCTTCTTGCAGACCATGCGGGTTTGTGCCTTCCTCACACTGGTTCCAAAGTGAGAAAGAGTTCACTGTTAGGGGTCTGAGCTTTGTCCAAATGAGAGTGAAGAGGTGTGGGTGTGCTAGGTGTGGTGGTGCACGCCTGTCATCCCAGCACTCTGGGAGGCTGAGGCAGGAGGATGGCAAGTCAAGCCCCACCAGGGCAATTTAGCTACTTAGTGAAATTCTGTCTCAAAATTAAACATAAAAAAGGCAGGGGGTGTAGCTCACGTGAAAGCCTTGAATTCAATCCTCAGTGCTAAAAAAGAGAGGGAAGGAAGAAAGGAAGGAAGGAAGAGAAGGGAAAGAAGGAGGGAAGAAGGAAAGAAAAAAGGGAAGGAGGGAGGGAAAAAGGAAGGGAGAAAGAAAAAGAGAGAGAACAGAAAAGAAAAATGTGAGGTGCTTGGGAGTCCAGGCCCTGCTGCGGGCAGGGGGCTGGGTCTGTGCCTGCACCCTGGGGCTCACGGGCCTGGGGTCAGGACCACCTTTCTGTCTGTCTATCCTGTACAAGGCCAATCAGCACGGTGCTGGCTGCCCCAAGGCAGGAGGCGGGGCCCATCCTGTGCCTCGGTGCTCCGGGCTGCTTCTCCCAGGAAGAGGCTGGTGCCTGGGTCCAGAGCGGCGTTCTCATTCTTGTCAGAGACAGCTGGTGCCTGGCCTCTTGCTGCCTCCCCTGTCCCTGTGTCGTCTGACAGGTCACTCGTGCTTGGCAAGAGCAAAGTGGACCAAGCGTTGTCCTCTTTGACCTCCTCGTCTTCCCTCTTGGGCCACCTGGCCCGGCCCCTGCAGGCACCGTGGCCAGTTCTGCTCCTTTCCCTCTAGATTCTTCAGGACGCAGTAACCCGAGAGGTAGAATGTGACATTTTTCAGGGACCTTTTTTTTTTTTTTTTTTTTTGGCGCTGGTGGTGCTGGTGATTGAACCCAGGGCCTTCACACTGAGCTGTATCCCCAGCCCTTTTCTCAAATTTGCAATCCTCCTGCCTCAGCCTCCCAGAGTTCTGGGATTACAGGTGTGCACTGCCACATCTGGCTTTTCATTGGCCTCAATTTGTGCTTCTTAAATCAGTAGTGAGTTTGAATTTTGTCAAATATTTATTTCAAATATTTATTCACTACTTGTATTTCTTCTTTTATGAATTGCCTTTGTGGCCTTTTTTACTGTCGTAAAATATACATAACAAATAACCTGCCACTTTAAGCCCTTTGTAAGTGTCCAGTTCTGTAGCAATAAACACATTCTTACCTTGCTTTTGTCACCACGGTTCACTTCCAAAATTCTTTCATCTTCCTGTGCTGAAACTTGTGTATATTAAACACCAGCACCCTACCCTTGCCCTCCACTTTCTTCTTTGTTGCTTTGAGTCTGACAACTTGAGAGGACTTATATAAGAGGAATTATTTAATAGTTTCCCTTTTGTGCCTGGCTTATTTCACTTCACTAAATGTCTTCAAAGTTCCTCCATCTTTGAGCATGTGCCAAATTGTCCTTTTTAAAGGGTGAATAATATTCCATTGAATGGATATACCGTGCTTTGTTTATTCCTTTCAGACCCCATAGGTGCTTGAGTAGCTTCCACTTTTAGGGGCCATTTTTTAAATTGAGCCTTTGGAGTTATCACTTTGTATGACCTCTTTGTGAATTAAAGATATTAAAGATACTGTCTGCATGGGACAGTGGATGTTTTCATGCTCCTCCTTTGGGTGGGAGGGCATCTTCAGGATGGGGTGCTCCTGAATTGGTATCCGGAACATGGGCCCCTCTTGACTCTGCCCCTGACAATGTGTCGCTGTTGACTACTAACAAGCTTTCCCCCAAGGGGCAGCAAGCCCCGGGCCCTGCTCTGCTGATGCCCTTGCTGGGGCCCTGGGAAGAGGTGATGCTCACGTCACATCAGGAGGAGGAGAGAGGTTCGGGGAAGTGACAGCAGGTGGGTGACGGCGCAGGCTTTGAACCTGGAGCCCACAGAGATGGGGCGGGGCCTTGTGGGAACACTGAGGAGCCTTGGCATCTCGTCTAAGTTCTCGGGGAGCCTGGGTGGCCTGCAGGGCTCCCGCCAGCTCTTGTAGTCACCACGGCAGGGTGTACAGAGGACGTCACCCGTGTGCGTGTCAGGTCCTCTCCCCCACAGCCCTCTTCAGGCCCTGTGGGACCTGCATCCATTTGTCCTCCCTGCTGGGAGCAAATGTGGCCGCAGCTCCCAGCACAGCCGGGCTGAGGTAACCATGCAGCTGTTTTTAGAAGCCCTTGGGCACCACGGGGCTGCTATTCTGAGCCCCAGCTGCTGCCTGGCTCCCCCGCCATGCTGCTCTGTGGGCTCTGGAGCTGAGGGGAGTTGAAAGAATGTGCTGATCAGTGTCCCTAGAAGACAGTGACACAGGAAACGTTGGCCTAGGCTAGTGTTGCTGAGCAGAAATGCAAGGGTCCCCTTGTTTTGTTTTTGAGATGGGTCTCATCATGTTTCCCAGGCTGTCCTAGAACTCTTAGGCTCACATGATCCTCCTGCCTCAGCCTCTCAAGTAGCTGGGATCATAGGTATGGACCACTGTGCCCTGCACACCTTTTATTTTGATTGTGTGTGTGTGTGTGTGTGTAAACTGGAACGTTTCGAGCCCACGAATGACTCTCCCAGACAGGAATGTGATTTATACGAGTGGAGGTGTTGTATAGAAAACACAGCCTGCAGAACGGTTGTGCCTGCCCACACAGCCACGCGTGCTTTCACACACTCACACAAACGCAGTGTCTTGGCTGTCGCGTAGGAAGTGTGACTGGTTTCCTTCAGCTGAGGGGGCAGGTGCTGTGGGGTGTCTCGGAGCCAAGACAGTCTGGAGGGACGGAGAGGGGAGGAGCGCTGAGGGCCTCAGTGGATTAGGGAAAGGGGTGGGACTGGGAGAGAGGCTGGCGCCCCCTGCCGGGGCAGCTCGGGCCCTGCTTTCTGCGGAGCTGGTGCCTGGAGAGCCAGGGAGGGAGGAGGGAGGCAGGCAGGAGTGTCACCAGCCGCCCTTGGCTGTGCCACCCAGGGATGTCTGCAGCTTCCTCTTCTGTCTGCTAAGCCCCAGTCCCCAGGGCCGCCCAACCGCCCAACCGCCCAATGGGACTCATCTTCCCCTTAGCCTTGTCTGCTTCTCTGTAAGAGCCTGATTCCTGGAGAAGCCTCCTCCCTCCTTCCTGGGCCCACAGGGACTGAGTTTTGTTGCCATTGACCCCATCCCACCAGGCAGACCGAGGTCAGGAGTCTCAGAAATGTGGGGGGCAGGGGATAAAGCAAGAAAACCCAGTGGACAGACAACAGAACATGCCCGGCTGACGTCCCTTGCTTTTTAGGAGTGGCCCCATTAAAGCCCCCTGTTTATTCTCTTATACTCCCCCGCCCCAGCAGGGTTGTTCAGAGAAGAGGGGAGTCTTAGCCCTAAATTCCAAGAAAATGCTGCCCTCCCTTCCCAGGCCTCGCTGCCTGGGGTCCTTTGTCCCCCCCCCCCAACGGGGGCCGGTAGTCCACACACTCCACTGTAGACACTCACTGAGTGTAGAGCAAGAGACAGACGAAGTGGTTGATGGGGCGGCCGGCAGGGCTCAGAAGCCAGAGGAGCTGCTCCAACCAATCTGGGGACAGGCAACCTGCGGGGAGGCGAGTGGGTCAGGAAAGGGACTCAGGAAGGATGAGATGGGCTTGCGGGGAGAGCGGAAGCGAGACGTGGTGCCCATAGTGCCCTGCCGCGGTGATCTAGCCCGCCCTTCAGCCTGGGCTCTGCGTGCCCGGTGCTCGCGTTGGCCACGCGGCAGCAGGTGTCGTGCAGTACAAACACTGGTGAATGGAGCACCTGTGTGTCCATCCTGAGCACCCAGGTGCAGTGGAGACCAGCTGCTCAGCGCTCGTGACACCGGAGGGCCCGGGAGACTGTGCCGAGCAGAGCCACCTAGAGCGTGCTCTGAGGGGAAGCTCAGTGACGGACGGATTGTTCCGGGGACCGGGACAGGTGGCCCCGCCAGGGTGGCCGTCTGCTCTCAGGAGCGCTCTCTGGCAATGGCAGCCTTGTGCTGGCCTCCTTGATAAACAGATTCCTGTCTCTCTTTCTCTGCAGCCTTCAATTCCCCAGGTCCCAAATTATAGGCTGTCCATGACGATCCCGGACTGGCTCCAGGCGATCCAGAATTACATGAAGACACTACAGTATCCTTCCAGCCGGGTGCAAGGATGGGCATTGCATGGGTATCCCCAGTTGGTCCTCCAGCACTCTCAGAGGCCAGGCACAGAAGGTGCCCTTGGGTCAGAACCCGGAAAGAGTCAGAACTGAGGGTGGGCCACAGTGACCAGGCCCTTGTCCCTTCAGGCAGGATGTGGGCAAGGACAGCCGTAGAGCCCAGGTCCACCCGAGCCTCTCGGGCTTCTCCTCCTCCTTCCCCTTCCCTGTCCTTTGCTGTCTCCCTGTGACCCACCTTCCCCCTTGTCCACTTCCTCTCACTGTCTTTGTCCCCTCCTCCTGCCTTTCCCGAATACCGGTCTCCCTCTTCTCTCCTCCTCTTCTGTTCCTGTTTCCCCTCTCACATGTTTGCCTTCATCCTCGGCCACTCATGATCTCCAGGAACTCACCTGGAGCCGCCTTGGGCCCCTGCAGCCACCAGGCCGGTGACCTTGGTCCGGCTTTGCAGGGACAGTGGTGGAAGAGCAGTCTTCTTCTTCCACTTGGCCCGGTAGACTTGCCACACAGCCCTGTGGGTCCAGGCTGGGTCAGACTGGCCACACTCTGGTCCCTTCCTCCTCCAGTGTCTTCAGGTTGCTTGTAGTTAACAAACTGAGAGCGCCTTGAGCAATGCTGCAGGAACCGAGGAGCACAAGCAAGGGGCTTCCAGTGGATTTCAGCATCTCCCCCGCAGGGACCAAACAGCAGCAGCGCCCCCACAGGGCTGCATGTTCCGAGGGGATAACACCTGGGTCTGCTCACTCTGGGGGAGATGTCTTGTGTGCCTCTCAATTCCCGCAGAATGGAACAGGGGGAGAAGGGGGCACACATGAGAGACTCCAACCTCTGGGGACTTGGTGTGGGGGTGACCCTCAAACTCATACCCCACGTGGGATTCCTTGGGGTCCAGAGACCAAGTCTCGGGCACAGCAGGTAGACTGGGGCCCCAAGAGCTGGCCCTTTCTGAATGAATATTCCAGAAGGTGACAAATTAGAACAGCTCCCTCCTCTCTTTCTAAGATATGGTCTTCCCAAGGCCACCTGGCCAGAGATCAAAAAGGACAAGTGGGAGGCATGGGTGGGGCAGATTGGCACAATTTTCCTTGTCCCTTGGTCAGCCCTGCAGCACCCACCCAGCTGGGTTTTCATCGCTGCCCCGTTGGCTGTGCTGTTTAGTTTTCCTTTGCTCTGTTTCATTCTGACTGCAGTGAGAGAGGACAGGGCTGCAGGAGCCAGAGGAAGGCAGAGCATTCTCTCTTCCTCTACCCTCTGACCTGGCTTTTAGTTCCTTTCTTGGGCCCCCTACTCCTTCATCCTGGAGACAGTGGCAGGTGTCAGGGCCTGGGGGTGGGCAGACCCGACTACAGATGTGCTCAGCTGGCAGTGGACAGATGAGAACCCAAATCCTGCCTTTCCCTGGAACAGCCTCTGAGTGGCCACCGGCTGGAGTGCTGACCCTGCGTAGGGTCTAGGAAGGCTGATGCCCAGGGGAGGTCTCACTGGGCAGGGAACGCTTCGGGAAGGTGTTTCTCACCCACTCCACTCCAGGAGCTCCTTCACTTGCTGTGAGGATCCAAGAGAAGCAGGCTAGGTAATTTTTGACGATTTAATTTTAGGTTCATCTTCTTTTATGAACTCCATGTATAAATTAGATGTACAAGTGGGGAAAGTTGGGCATATGAGTGAAGTTTTGCTAATCGAATTCTACTTTTAAGCCTGCTGGGACTGCGCTTGCTGAGTAAAATCTTTGGTAAAGAAAACCACTTCACACTGAGAATATTTTGTCCCGTGTTTTCCTGTCTTATCTCTAGGATTTTGTTGGCTGTAGGTTGTATCTCAGGAATTTCAGGTGTCTGTATTGTTAGTGGTTACTACAGCACTAACTCCCAAGCTGGCGAGCGCTTATCACAGTCAGCCCGTGGTCCTCACTCCAGACCTCATAGGATCCACGGCCTGAAATCACAGCCTCCAGGGGTGGTGCCTACAATCTGCTTTTGAGCTCCACAGACGCTTGTTGGGTGTCCCCTTGTCTGCAAAGCCAGGCACATCTGGGCTGGGTGGGGACCCCAGCCACTCTCAGGGGGTGTGGAGCGTCTCCTCCGTAGCTGCTCTATCCCTGTACTGCACACTACACATCTCAGATGTGCTGCCTGGGCCCTCGGCTGCTTTGGATACCTACTTCATTTGGATCCTCCCAGCTTGCACTTTTTAAATGTGCAATTTTGTTTGAGGCTGGAGAGTGAAATATACAAAGCAACTTTTCTCTAGGCTGAGAAAAATCAAGAACCATTCTCAGAGAGCGTGATATCAGAGAAGCTTTGGTCTCTTCCAGAATGACCTGTGGCAGGCTTGCCATCCCTGAGAACTTCTGAGCAGTCGATGAAATTAAAAATGTGGATAATGTCCAAACTTTTCAGGTTTAGTAATCAGTGTCAAGTGCCGCCAAGAAAAGAAGGTGATGCTTCCACTGTAAACTCTGCTGCATCTGTATGCTGTTGAAAACTGTGTGCCGTTCGTCTGGCCTTTCTTCCTTCCATCTGTCTCTATCAGTCCTTCCATTCTATCCTTCCCTCCATCTATTCCTCTTCCCATCCAACCAGCCTTCCGTCCATGTATCCGTTCTAGTCTTCCATCCGTCCTCCCATTTATCTATCAATCTGTCCACCCACCCATTCATTCACTTCTTGCTCATTCAACGATATTTGCTAACTTATGAGTGATATAAAAATGATTTTAAAAAATGGTCCCAACTCTCAAAGAACTTGCAGCCTGATAGGTGAAATAAGACATTTATTCATGAATCAGAATACAGAACAGATTAAGAGGAGCTATTACAAGAGTTTGAGCTGCTTTGGGGCCTAAGAATTAGATTTCCAGGGCGGAGAGATGGGGAATTAGATGCTGTTAGCTACCTTCTGGCCGTGGGCCACTTCTGAGGAGCAGCCCCTATCTTCTTATCCCATTGAGAAATCGGTGTGCATTGTTTTCTTTGCCAGAGGACTGGGACATTTGGAGTTTTCTGTCATTTTCCCTTTACATACTTCACACAGATATAATCACACAGGGACCCAGTTCTTTGAAATTAGGAAAATGAGACCACTGAGCGGGTAAGTGGTGCATGAGCTATGGGCTGGAGATCTCCCCCTTCCCTGAGAGCTTCCAATTGGCTCGTCCCTGAATCTCGGTGTCCAGATATCCCAGAATGCAGGGAGTGGGGGTGGAGGGCCGAGCTGGCAGTGGGACTGAGGACTGGGCTGATCCGACAGCCACCTTCGGTGGTGAAGAGTAACCGGCAGCGGGAGGATGCTGTGGGAAGTGGCGCCAACCTGTGGGCGCTCACTCTCGGGAGGGCAGGGAGTAGGGGCCGTGGGACCTTAGTTCTGCTTGGTGCAGCTGTGCTCTGGGGCCTTCCCTGGGTTCTCACGTGGTGCCTGGTGCGGAGAACGCATGCTGATGGATTGACAGACAGACAGACTGACTGCAGAATCGAACAGTTCCTGAGCTCCTCTGCTGTGTTCTGTCCAACAGGTTAATGGAAACAGCGAAGGAAATGACCCGAGAGTCCTTGCCAATCAAATGCCTTGAAGCTGTCATCCTGGGCATGTATCCTTCAGGTTCTATGTGCTTAAGTTTACTGCATTCGCAGTGACTCGCCGTGGAGCTGGTTGTGCCTGTAACGTCCTAAATTCACAGCGATGACGCCCGGTGTCACTCTGAAGGAAGAAGTTGGCCTCCCCCTCTCTTTAACCTTCCCTGTTGAGAGTTGGGCCAAACCAGAGCTTGGCTCCTCGGAGCAGGGTCAGTCCTAGGGTCCTGGCTGCAGCCTCCACCAGGGCCAGCTCTCGCCCCAGTAACTCTTGTCTCAAGGAGAATTCTAACTTGGGAGACCAGAAGGGGGAGACCAGAGAGGGTGTGGAAGGTGGGGATTCCACCCGCTTGGGGCAGGTGGAATCAGGAAATAGGAGAGCGGGTGGTGGCGGAGGCCAAGCAATGGTAGTGTGCCCTGCCTTCATGCACACAGCTGACCCAGGGCCTGGTCCCTTTCGCACTTTCTATTGTGTCTCCCACCTGACTCTTGGTTGTGCAGCCTGAGAAGAACATGCAGCATGATCAAAATATACCTTGAACATTTAAGTTTTACAAGATGTACTACAATAAAAGACATTGCCACTGGGCGTGGTGGTGTGCGCCACCGCGTGGTGGTGTAATCCCAGCACTTGGCAGGCTGAGGCAGGAGGATCACTGTGAGTTTGAGGCCAGCCTGGGCTGCATAGTGAACTCAAGGCCAGCCTGAACTACACAGTGAGACTTTGTCTCAAAAAAAAGAAAAAAAAAAAAAAAAGACATTACCGTTAATCCCCCTCAGTGCACTCCTTCACACTTAAGACATATATCTCAGCATTCTTCCCCCTTTCTGAAGCCGTCCTAGAAGTCCTCTTTCGTGAGTATCTTTAGTTGTGCTGTTGTGGCTGCCTCAAGATCCAGAATCGATTCAAAACATTTACCTTTCACCGTCATTTTGCCCTTGGGAAAGAGCCAGAAGTTGCACGGTGCCACATCCGGTGAATACGATACATGAGACACGGTGTCTTTTTTCTACGAGCCTGCCATTCTGTTGGATGGTACAGTGACGCAGCAGCATCCGCTGTACTTTTGATCAGATCTCATCAAGACACTCATGAAAGAGAACTTCCAGAACTGTTTCAGAAAGTGGCAAGAATGATGGGAGGTATGTTTGAAGTGAGGGGGAGTACACCGAGGTGAATTCATGGCAATATGTCTTATTGTGATACTGTTGTAAATACAATTTATTGTAATAGCATGGCAGCTATTTTGAAGGAAATTAATAATACTATGTCTTACTGTAATAATTTTTTTTTTAAATGTAAGCATTCACTGTAGTTTCTGATCATACCTCCCCCTATGGTCCAGAAAACCTGTGATGCCGCTCACTTATCAGTGGCGGCAGCAATTGAACACAATCAGACAGAGGAGCAGAGAAGCTCCACGTCCCCTGGAGTGCATGGCTGGGAGGGACAGTGGCAAAGGAAGCAGTGAGACCTGAGCTTGAGAGATAGGGTCCCAAGGGAAGCCAGCTGCGTGGAAAGTGACCTTTTCCCAAAGGTGACAGGCAGCGCAGGTGGAAGGATGCTCAGGAGCAGACACGGTCAGAGGCAGGCACCCTTCACACCTACAGGGCAGACTGGACAAGGCTGGCCCCGGATCCTCAAAGCCTACTGGGAGCTGTTACGGGAGGGAGTTGTACCTGCGAGCCATGGCTGGGGTGATGCAGACGGGTTAGAGGGGCAGTTTTAGCAGCTGTGAAGCAGGTAGAACAATAGGACTTGGAGGCCTGCTGCACCAGGAGTTGATAGGGCATCGGCAAACATAGGCTTCTGGATCTGGAGACAGCGTGGAGGAGAGTTAGCCAGGGCATGAGAGTGACAGACAGGTCAGGGACGCTTCCCTTTTGTGCCAACCTGACTAAGACATAGTGGTGAGAGGAGAGGAGGGGAGGGAGACATTTCTGACTTGCATAATAAAGAGGGATCCTATTTATGGGGACTCAAGTGCAGATTGGACAGGTTGAATTTGAAGTGTTGAATTCAGGATGGGATACTAGGAGAGTGGAGCTCATAGTGGGACCAACACTGGGAATACGGGTGTGGGGTCTGTGAGTGTTGGGGGGACAGATGTGGTTGCTAAGAAGTCACAGAATGATCAAGAGTGAAATCTCAGTGTTTTTCTGTGTAGTGGGACACAAACAGCTCATGAAAAGGACTTAAAAAGAGGCGTGGAAGGAAAAGCAGGCGAGGGAGGAGATGCAGCCTTGGGCGGAAGGACATGGGACTGGTCCAGCCTGCTTGCTGCTCCTCCGGCCATTGTCACAGGAAGGAGCTCCTGTGCCTCTGTCATCCGCGGAGCAGTCACAGGCTTGATCTGAAGCAGGATTGTCCACAGGTGCCCGGGCTGACATTTGAAAAGTGGAAACTCTAGCCCTCCCGAGCCCCTCCCTCGCCTTCCCGGGAGATGAAACGCGTGCCTGGGGAGCCCAGCAGGAGGCCAGGGCTGGGGTCAGCCTGCAGATGGCTCAGGGCCCCAGCTCTGTCATGGGCACAGCTGTTCAGCAGAGCCTCTTGCAAGTTTAATGGGGTAAACCATTGGCCAGGGGTCTGCTTGCAGAGATCAGTGGAGGAGAACGCAAGCAGTGGTCCTTGGCTGGGTGGTGGCGCTAACCTCAGACGGCCCTGCCGGGCATGCGGGTGCACCTGGGCACAGTCGCCGTGACCCTGCACGGTGTTATATAAGCACTGTGTCATGGGAATTACCTGCCGCCTTTGCGAGGAGCGAGACCTGCTTCAGCCTGCAGGCTGTTCCTTTGGTTTGCCTTTGTTCTCACCCATGTGATGTTTTAGAAGAGTGCAGGGCAGGCGGAGAGGGTGGAGAGATTCAGCTCATGCTGCTGAACTCAGGGAAACCTGACTCTGGGACGCAGACAAGAAACATGATGCAAAAGGTCCAGCATCTTTGTCTTCTGTTTGCGCTGACTCAGCAGCCCGTGTCCCGCTGTCCCGTGGGGATGGTGAAGGATGACTTGAGTCTTCACCTGTCTCTGGCTCGCCCTTCTGCAGTTCCTGCAACAGAAACGGTGCTTGACAGCCGGAAGCTGCTCAGTTGGCCAGATAGGCACCTGGTCCGTTTACCTGTCCTTCTGACCTTTTCTTTCTTTGTATTTTAGCACAGGCATCCTTTGTGAACGACAACTTTTATCTTGCTGAAGTGCACATACGCACTTTGGCATGCATGCTGGACACAAGGATCTCTGGTTTAAAATTATTTTCTGAATTACAGCAACTATTTTGGAGGGCCTCACTGGCCTTGGTGGCGGTTGCTTGTGGTACGGAGGGACCATGGTTAATTAAAGTAACACGTGCATTGTGACAGGCAGATTCTACATTTCCCCAGAGGCTGGGTGCTAGCAGATTAGCCAAAGGTTTGGGGTGCTGCTACCCTCTGTCCGGATAAGCTCAAACTACTTTCCAGCCCGAACCTGACCTCCTCCTCCCTCCCTCTCTGGGTCCCAAGGCTTTGCTGATTGCCACCTAGCTGCTATGTGTCTGGTGAGGCTAATTCCTGTGCGGCTGACCCGAGGCTGCTCCTCTGTCCTCTCAGAGATCTCTGGGAGCGTCTCTTCTAGCATATATCACACGGTGTTTTGCTTTGTTTCATTTTGGTAAAACTTCACGGCACGAAGTTTAGTCTTTCACTCATTATTAAGGGGTCCGATTCAGTGACGGTAGAATATTCACAATCTCGTGTAACAACTGTCGCGGTTCACCTCCAGAGCTTTCCCATCTTCTCCGCCTTAATGTCTTTTCATTAAATAACAACGCCCCTTCCTCCTGCCCCGCCTCCGCGCTGACTCTAGAATTGATCCCTCTAGGCACCTTAGGTCAGTGGAATCATACAGTCTCCGCCCTCTTGTAACTGGCTTATTTCACTGGGCATGATGTCTGCCAGGCTCACCATGCTGTGGCTCACTGTAAGACCTCTTTTTTTTTGTCTTTTTGAGACAGGGTCTCGCTATGCAGTTCAGGCTGGCCTTGAGCTCACTTTGTAGCCCAGGCTGGTCTCGAACTCGCAACGATCCTCCTGCCTCAGCTTCCCAAGTGCTGGGATTACAGGCGTGTACCGCTGCGCCCTGCTGAGACCTCTTTTTTAAAGACTGCATCATAACACCTTGTTATATAGATGCTACCTTTTGGTTATCCGTTTATTCCACAGTGGGTACTTAGGTTGTTTCCATCTTACGGCTGTTGTGATTGTTGTTAGGAGCATGGGTGCATGAATAATCTGTTGAAGTCCCTGCTTGCAATTATTTGAGTCCATACCCACGAATGGAATTGTGGGGTCAGCCGGGCATGGTGGCGCACACCTGTAATCCCAGCACTCGGGAGGCTGAGGCAGGAGAATCAATGTGAGCTCAAGACCATGCTGGGCTGCAAAGTGAGCTCAAGGCCAGCTTGAACTGCATATCGAGACCCTGTCTCAAAAAGACAAAAAAAAAAAAATTGTGGGGTCATAGTAATGCTGTTTTATGGATGCATTGCCTTGTGCCCATTGTGTGACTCCAGAGAAGTCTACCTTCTTTATCTTTGGCCCCTCGGCCACAGCCAGCAGGCATAGGGGACATGCACTACACTTACTAGCGACTTTGGTTTCACCAGCTTCAGCAGCTGAAGAACGCCCTCATTTGGGGCCTCAAGAACTGAGCTGCAGAGAGCAGGCGAGAGGACTCGGGAAGTCATTTCACACCCTGTGTGACAGTTCATCTCGCACAAGGACATGGCTGAACTGAGGGTGGAGGACAAAGCTGTCCTGGGCCATCGGCTGGTTGTATGGGCCTCCTTCTCTTCAGGGTGCCTGGGTTCGCCCCCCTCTGAGTGCTGTCTTGTGCGCAGAAGCTGGTGTATCCTCCCTATCTAAGGTTCAGTCTTCCAACCAGCATTACACAGTCCCTTCCCAGCGGACACTGGGCTTCAGGCTCAGCCTCCGCCCTGTCAGTACAGGATGAACAAGCACCCAGTGATCTGGGCGTTCTTGCTGGGGGAAGAGGGGAGGGCACTCCTAGGTGAGGCTGAGGGATGTCAGGGCAGGCGTGGTACTCAGGAAGGGGAGGGAGCCATGAGGCTGCCCCAGGCCAGGTCACAAACTTAGGAAGAGAGTAAAGCCCCCAGCCCCTCCATCGCTAGGGTCCAAAGATATCTGCCAGGGTGGAATCTTCCACACCATAGGACTGATGCTTGTGTGGAGCCATAGTTTATTTCTACAGCAGGGACGAAGGGGATGTAGTTCGTTTGGTGATTTTAAAAGTATGGTGTAAAGGTCATTTTAAGGTCATCTGAAGGCTCTCTTCCTTTGGACTTCATATTATGGAGCTTCCATGTGCAGAGGGCAGCGGGCACAGATCTGTGCGTCCTCACCCGTGCCCGGGGTGTCCTGCGGGTTGGTGTGCTAGCCCAGGGCACGGGGAAGGGGACTGCTGAGGAGCACCGAGTGGGGGCCAGAGCAGCTTGGGCACTGACCTGGGCTTTGGATGAAGTCCTGGAGAGGATGAGGCAGGAAGAGTGGGGAATACCTAACCTGGGCGTCTGTGGGTCATTCTGGCCACCGTGTAGAGCCGGAGCGGGGACAGGCAGCAGCGAAGACAGATTCTCAGCGGGGAGGATGCGCCTTTGCCCGTGCCATGCGTGGAGCACTAGGCCAAATACTGGGGTTAGCGCTGACCTTAGAGACATTCTGGGGCCACCAAAGCTTTTGCACAGAGAGCAACAGGGTGAGTTTCTGGTGCCCCTGTGCGGAAAAGCTGGGCCGGGAGAGACGTGGGGTTTCAGGACATGCTAGTGAACACCCTGCCTCGTGCCCTTCCTTCCAGGGCACGGAGGTGGGGGCACAAGTGCCTGATGCTGTGCTTGCGGAGTGCCTGGGCCAAAACCCGGGTGACAGAGAGGCAGCTACTAAACCCAACATGCCAGCGAGTGGAGAGAGCCACGGCGTGGTGCCCTGTGGGCTGGGGATGGAGCAGAGCCCAGGTTGCTGGCACGGGTGGCCAGGGCCAATGAGACAGCAGGCGAGGTGAGGGGTGGCCCCTCCCCTCCTCTGCCCCTAGTGTCATGGCGCCCACCAGCCTGCCTCCCCGCCTCCAGTGCTTGGGTCCTGGTTTTCATGTATCACTGCGACCAACACATGGTCTTTAGCTCCTGGTCTGCTGCATACTGGGCAGTCTGATCACTCGAGCGGGATAAAAAATTAAAAGTCCTTAAGTAGCTCTTCCTGTCCAAGAAAGGAAGAGTATCTTGTTAACGCTTGGCATTTGATTACTAAAGAAGATGGCAAGTTTTTCCCTATGTCCTATAGTTCCTTTGCTTCTTTAAAGCACAAAACGGTTGATACTCAAAACTCCCTATAAAAGGATAGATGAATGTTTTTAAATGTGGGGATTTGGGGGAAGCAGAGGGATGGACTCACTAACCCCTGTGACTTGTTTTCCCTTTATGGGAGTCCAGGCTCTGAATTTGCAAGGCCTCACATCTCTTCCTTAACTCAGACTCTCTAAGATACTTAACCAATGGGCAGCCTTCCATTGAGCGATTCCCCATCAGCTTTAAAACCTACTTCTCAGGAAATTACTTTCACCATGTTGTGCTGGGAATATACTGCAATGGCCGCTACGGCTCCCTGGGCATGAGCCGAAGGGCTGAGCTGATGGACAAGCCCCTGACCTTTCGGACTCTGAGTGACCTTGTCTTTGACTTTGAAGACTCCTACAAGAAGTACCTGCACACGGTCAAGAAGGTCAAGATTGGGCTGTACGTCCCCCACGAGCCTCATAGCTTCCAGCCCATTGAGTGGAAGCAGCTGGTCCTCAACGTCTCAAAGATGTTGAGGGCCGACATAAGGAAGGAGCTGGAGAAGTACGCCAGGGACATGAGGATGAAGGTGGGTGGTGAGGAAAGTAGAGACCCATGCAGGAGAGCTCTTCTCTCTCCCTCCCCCTCCCCCCCAACTGTTCCTCTATTACAATGAAAAATGTAGGTGATTTGTTACTTGATATGGATGGTTGAAGTCTTCTTGCACACGCTACATGCTACTGTTGGCTTTTCATAGCTGTGGGCCCTGCATCTGCAGTGTGACTAACTTTGGATTGAAGGTATTCAGAAGGAACATTCACCTGTACTGGACATGTACAGGCTATTTTTCTAATTTCCCCAAACGGTAAGCGTGACAACTATTACTTAGCACTGACATTGCACTAGTAATCTAGAGATGATTTAAAGTCTAGGGGACGATTGTGTAAGTTATGTGTCCATATTACACCATTTGAGAGTCATGGATTTGAGTATCTGTGGGATTCCTGGAACGAGTCCTCCGTTAGGATCCTCAGCTGTGACTGTCCTTCAAAAATCACCTAAAACAAACTCAGAGGTTAAAGTCACAGCACTGTCTTGGCCTGCAATTCCTTCTATGAAATCAGATTTGAAATGTTAGTCATTTTATGCTATGTGCATGTTATAGTTTGTTCTGTCTTCACAGAAGGCTGACCGATCATTCTCGTGTGCCCAGAACTGAGGGGTTGGCAGGACACTAGAGTTCCTCTCCCAGTGCCTCCTAAGCCTTAGAAACGTGGTGGCCAGGGAGTCTGCAATGCCACTGGCTGTAGGGAGGCGTGAAGGTGGGGCCTTCAGGGACCAGCACCGTTAACTCCTTGCATTTCCTTCAGATCTTGAAGCCTGCAAGTTCCCACTCTCCGACCCAGGTGAGAAGCCGGGGGAAATCCCTGTCACCCCGAAGGAGACCAGCAAGTCCCCTGAGGAGGCTCGGCAGGCAAGACAAGTCGTGAGTGATATTTCCCCTTCCCCGGCACAAGGGCCAGCACACACATTGTGTGGAATTATCTCCCTGTGGGGACAAAGTTGTCCTGGGCTTGGCGTCAGGATGCAGGGTGGTCTCCAAGGGGATCGCCCACACCGGGACTGCTGCAGGATAGGTGCACACCACCCCTTTGCTCCTCCACAAAAGACAGCTGTGCCCATGCGTGGGGGATGATGCAACCTGGCCTGCCATCCAGGCAGTCCAGGAAGAGCACTGGGCCTGGGGTTAGGAAACCTGGGCCTGGAACCAGCTCAGCTGCCGTAGGAGCTGTGTGACCTTAGGCACATCCAGTCATGTTTCTGCATGTTGATTTTCTTATCCCTAAAATGGGATCGTTAGAATTCGTGAATTTCCTAGAGTCCTGCAGTCCCCTGTGCCCAGTGAACTGTGATTGCAGTCAGTGTGGTGGCATCAGATATATCCCCAGTATGACCCTCGTCCTCGGCTAACTCCACCCTGGCCAGCTTTAGCCCAGGCCTAGTGATTCCATACCTACTTCTAGGGTCCAAATGAGCCAGGTAAGAAATGACAGGTTGGAGCTGCTGAACGTGCCCAGAAACACCAGTGATAATCCCCTGGCAAAGACACCACGAGCCATAATTATACTGGGGGAAGGTACCGCTTTTCTTCATAATAACAGCATGCTTGTCACGCTGGTCTCTCGCTGCGCTGGGAGCAGTGGCACGGTGCGCAGGCATTGTGCCTGAGTCCCAGCTCGGCAGCATGTTACCCCGAACCTGGGCAGATCCTTGGTCCTTAGGGATCCTTACTCTGCACCTGTGAAAGAGGTTGAAAATGCTTCCTTGCCTGGGCATGGTGGTGCACACCTGTAATTCCAGTACCCAGGAGGCTGAGGCAGGAGGATCACTGAGTTCAAGGCCAGCCTGGGCTACAGTGAGTTCAAGGCCATCTTGAACTACACAGCCAGACCCTGTGTCAAAAAAATTGTTGAAAGGATCAAATTAGACCCTGTGATGGCAGTGGCTGGTTAGGGGTGAGCTGCTTTTACATAAGCGCTTTGTTCTTGGCACATCGGACAGCGCTTCCATTCAGATGAAGCAGCCAGGATGCAAAAAGGATTGGCTTTGTTGTCCTGGGTCCCGTGGTAATGCGTGAAGGAGCAGGGCTAGAACGCAGGTCCCTGGCCTCTGGAAGGTGGCAGGGCGGAGGCAGGGTATGTATGGGTCTGCTTTGGGAAAAACAGGGCAGGACAAAGTATTTACAGTTCCACTGAGCCAACACTCTCCGCTTGCTCTGTTCCGCATCCGGGATCAGCCCCAGGAGGCGCTGGCCAACATGGCCCGTGTCCTGGGTCGGAAAGGGAGGAGCGAGGAGGTGGGAGGTCGGAGCTTCTGCAGCTGCCGAGAGAGGAGATTGGTAGGGTCCCCTGCAGCACTCTTCCTTCCAGAGAGCAGGATGGCTTCAGAGCTTCATTTCAGGCCTTCTGACCCTAACTCTACCCCGGTGCTGACCTTGAACCTGGATCCTTGACCTTGGCCCCCATCCTAACCCACTCTCCTCTCTTCTGATTCAGGCTTCTGCTAACTGCTGTCACTGAACCAAGTAGCAGCCTGCGGGTGGGGAGAGGAGCATTAGCACGGGGCAAATGGCCCGGCAACAGGAGGTGGTTCAGAGGGGAGGGCGCCCCTCTGTAGGACCATGCCCTTCTCACCCAGAGAGGCCTGGGTCACTCCTTAGGAGCCCTGATCCTCAGCAAAAGCCTAGCGGCTCATAAAGGCGCACCCTTCCCGTTAGAGCGGGGCCACCTGGAAGCCCTGGCTTGGTTGTGGAGCTGTGCACAGGGCGGCCGGGTTGGTTTGTAAGATGAGTCCAGTGGGTCGATTTCACTTGGACCTAGGGGGACTTTGCAGGCAAAGGCAAAGGCATGTTGTTTTTAGCCAGGAAACGTTACCCTGATTGCCCAAGACGGTGAATATCTTAGAATCTGATGGGGAGATAAAAATCAGGATCAGATCAAAAGTCCAGTGGTGGTGGTTTGAGAAATGTGCAGGAAGAAGGCAAGTTTGAACTTAGACTGTGGCATTTCAGGTTCTTGATGGGTATCCAGGGAGAATGTTCTAGAAACTGCTGTAACTGCGGACCTGGAGTGGGAGGGTAGAGATGAAAGAGCCGTCTAATCAGAAGTAACCCTTGAAACAACAGCTGGGTAAGACGGTGAGGAAAGAGAGAAGGGGGCGAGGCTCTGAGAAGGCCGGAGCAGGGGAGCTGTGGGGAGAGGCTCGGGTGTGGCCGAGCTGCCTCGGAGTGCCCCACAGGGGCCCCACTTGCCTGTCTCCTCCTGGTGCATCAGAGTGGCCTGGGAATGGGGCCAGGAGCGGGAAGGGTACCCGCAGGAAGAGGGCCTCGTCCATCTCCCTCCTTTCTCTACGCCCAGGGGCAGAGGGCTGGTGGCTCATTATTCAGCAAAATCCTGTACTTGAAGGTACAGTGTGGCTACACCTGCCCTTGTGTCCTGAGCCTCGTGCCGCTGCCCCTCCGCTGTCTGTCCTGGGTAGAGCATGGTCCCAGGGATCTGTCATTAACTTTGTCCAGTGGGTGGGAATCTTGGGACCTTTTTTTTTCCTGCAACAAGGGGCAGGTGGCCTCGGAAGAATGTGACTCTCAAGGGAACCGGGCAGCCTGTGATCCATTTCCGAAGGCAAGTCCTGTAAGACTGTTGGTGGTGGTCACACAAGCCTCCGCTGCTCATTTCTGCGCCTCCTCAGGAGGGCGGGAGGAGGCCTGCCGGGCAGGGACCCCAGCAGAAGGTTAGTGTGGGTTGAGATGGGAGCACAGATGCTGTCCCAGGTCCCTTCTATATCGTGGCTTCTGAGCCGCAGGGCTGGGACTGTGTAGGAGGAGAGGGAGAGGGATGCAGGAGATGAGATCCAGGGGAAAGGCCGCAAGAGGCGGGACGGCAGGAAACCCGGACCCCCGAGCTGTCCCTCCTCTCCAGGTGTCACCTGCACTGCCCGGCTCCCAGCGCTGTGCCTGTGCAGGAACAGGGTCTCCTCTTCTACCCGCGGCCCTCCCCAGGCAGCCTTTGTCCCAGGGAACCTTGCTTTTAGCAAGGAACACAGACAGGGGCGGGTGTGGCGCTGACCCAGCGACTCTCCGACTCCAGGGACCCTGGGGAGGGGTGGTGGCTATTCCTCCCGCATTACATAAGGCCAGCCGGTCACTTCTAAATGAATCCACCACCATCAGGAGGCTTGGGAGTGGCCAGAGGGTGGGAAATGCCCATAACAGGCTGTGGGGTCCCAGCTCCTGAACCAGGCAGGTCTAATTTTAGTGGCTTTCTGTCCTCACAGGCGGAACTTCTGCCAGCCCTGAATTCCGCTCCATTTTTACACTTGCCTGAATAATCCCTTTAGCAAAGAGGATCCGTGTCACTGGGCTGACACAGCCAGCTGAGTGGGTGGGTGAGCAACAGCAAAGATGAGGGCATCAGCTAAAACCAGGCTCACAGGGCCAGGGGAGCCGCCTCTCCCACCCCTGCCGGTCCTTCTCCTGCGCATCTTCACCGCCCTCTGGGTGTTCACAGCCATCCACATGCACGACCAGCGGGGGTTTCTGCGGCTCTGAAAGAGAAGGGCTGATGGAGGCTGCGGATGGTCCTTGCCCAGCCAGGCCCAGGAGCACGCTGCCCAGCACGGAACCTTCCGCCACAGATGCCTTGGTGCCTGAGCTGTGAAGCACGTGTGCTCTCTCGGGTCCTCTCCTTGTTGGTCACCACACCTGGCTCGCTGCCTGGGCCTCAGGCCTGAGAGAGTAGGAAAGAGCAGGCGGTTGGTTTGGTTTGGTTTGGTTTTGTGATATTACTGGGGATTGAACCCAAGGCCTTCACACTAAGCTGTGCATCCCTAGCCTTTTTTTATTTTCTATTTTGAGATGGGATCTAGCTGAGTTGTTTAATCACCCAGGTAGGACTCAAACTCACAGTCTTCCTGCCTCAGCCTCCCAAAGTGCTGGGATTACAGGTGTGCACCACCACGCCTGGCAAGATATGGCTTTCTGGCATGGCTGCCAGTGTTGGCAGGAGGGTGGCCCGTACACGGGAATGGCCAGATGGGACACTCTTCTCCCTGGGGCCAGGGCTCCGAGCACCCCGGGGAACCGTGGCTCTTTGTCTGCTCTGTGCTTCCTCCTCTGTTCTTTGCTGTCATGTCTGCTTCTTCTCCTCCCTTCCTCTTTGATTTTGAACCCTCATCACCTTCTCTGTGGCAGCTTTTGGCTGCCCTGCTGGGAACCCTCAGTGCCCCAGGGCTGGTAAGCCCTACCTCAAGACAGGGCCTCCTTTCATGCCAGGGCCACAAGCTGGACACTGGACACTGGGGCTTGGGCCCCTGTTGGGGAGGGTGACACTCACATGTGTCGGGCTGAGTGGGGACAGCAGCTGTTTAATGAAGTCACAGACTACATTTGAGTCCATGGCTTAGTGACCCTGAAGGTGTTTTAAATGGGGTCATTCAAAAGAGTCCCTCTCCTTAAATCCTAAACGAGAAAATATCTCCAGGGCAGAGGGAAGAAAACTTCTTCCTGTGAAAGGCAGAGAGGAAACCAGGAAAAAAAAAAAGCCCAACCTGGGTGGAGGATGAGGAAGGCTTCAGAGGGAGGCGAATGTCCGAGAGGGTGAGGAGGAGCAGCTTCTGCTCCGACCTTGGCCTGACCACTCCCCGTGGTTTCCTGGGCCTAGGACACAAGACGGTGGGACAGATCAGCAGGGACCTGGCCAAGCAGAGCCGCGGGCCCCCGGGGTCAGCCAGGGTTCCCTCTGGGCTCCTAAGCTGAGGAGTGCTGGGTCACAGCTGGGGAAGGTGACTCAGAGCCTGCCTGGGTGTCTGGTGGCTCCAGTATGGCCTGGGAGAGCTTGGGGGATGGGCACAGGGCCGAGAATCTCCCCAGAGCGAGCCGGTGTGTCTCGGCGAAGCTCCTGTGGACGCAGCTTCAACTGTCTGCCCTTGGTGGCTGCACTCCCGGAGAGAGGAGTGGGAGGAGGAGCCGCGCTGGCCCTGAGTGAGAGGAACAGGCACAAAGCCCGAGCCACGCTTTGCCTCAAGGCCTGGTGCTAGCTTGGCCTGGCCGGATTCCTGCCAGAGGGGCGGGCAGGGGCCCAGGCAGGGCTGTGCTTGCACTTGTTAACGCTGGGACCCCAACATGAAGGGCTGATTAGAGTCGCTCCTGCGGCCTGGCCCCCTTCAGGGTCCCGCGTGCACAAGTGACACAGCTGCACTGGAGTGTCGTGTGTGGGGGACACTGCTGGCTGTGCGTGTGTCACGCTGGCCCCTGGTCAGAGGCACAGAAGGGGCCTTGGGTGTTCAGGGAGCCCCCAGATCTTTCCCTCCTCCCACTGATTCTTTCCTCAAACCATGTCCCACAGGCAGGCGCCTCCTTGTGTGTGCAGCCCGAGGGTGCAGTGTTGTCCCCAGTATGTGGCCGTCACTTCCCGGTTCCGAGGCACCTGTGGGCTCACAGATAGGGCACGCAGTGCCAAGGCTGGTTGAGTGTGTGAAGGGTCCCACGTACCACTGTCCAAATTCAGGCGGCCGCAGCGAAGGCCAGCTCAGTGGCACTCTCCACAGGACGCCTCCTCTGGGGATCTGCCACGCACTCCTTGCCACCCACCACCTTGTCCACTGCTGTCAGCTGGGGCCGGACCGCAGTCCCCGTCAAGGGGAGAGGCCAGCAAGCTCTCGCCCGTTCATCCTGGACACATGTGGGTGACAACAGACGGAGCTGGGATCATCCCTCTGGGGAGAGAGGGCCCCTCGCACTGTCCTCCCACACAGGAGTTACAGGAGACCCAGACACACGTGCACACACACACACACACACACACACACCCTGCCCAACACAGCACCGCCCAGAGCCTGACAGCAGGAAAGTCCTTCGCTCCCTTTGTTTAGTTTGGACTGGGGAGGAGCTTGGAGCAGTAGCTGTTCAGTCTAAAATAAAGACCTAAAATGAGATCCGACGAGAGATTCTGGGCAAATACAGGGCTGAATCATCACCCTGGCACTTTCTTAAAAATAACCCCCTGGCAGTCTTTGACAGGGAGAGGCCCTGTGCCGCTAGCCCCCAGCGCTCCCCTGAGCCCAGCTGGTGAGGACCTAATCTATTCCTGGCTGGGTGCAGGCAGTGCCCGTGGTGGTAACCCACTTCCACCCACTGCCAGGCGGAGAACTGCTGCCGTCTCGGGGAAGGCAAAGGCTGTCACGCTCCAGGCAGGTCCGCAGGCATCTCTGCTCCGCTCATGTTCCGCAGTATAAGCCTTTTCGTCCCCTGGGTTCTGCTGCCTAGCGGAGGTGGGCAGGGTGGGGGCACAGGAGTGAGGCAGCCTTGTCCCTTTTCCCTGGAACCCTGCAAGTGATAGTTATAGGCTTCCAGGGGAAAGGCCTCTCCTGTACAATTTTTTAAAACTTTATTCTTCCTACTTGCTAATTCTTAAAATGCTGTCATAGTAACTCGAACTCCTGGCTTAGGACTTTGTTAAAGTAACATATCCCAGGATAAAAGTAACACGAAGCTCTAGCAGCCATTTACACATTAGTGAGAACTTGCCCAAGTTTTATTTTTTTCTGGTACCGGGAATTTAACTCACGACCTTGTGCTTGCCAGGCAGGTGCTGTGCTGCTGAGCTAAATCCCAGCCCCATTGGGGTTGGAGCCAAACGTCTTCAGTTGTGGCCTTATCTTGTCAGAAATGTGCCTAAGCTTCAGACAACTCACAAGTAAACATGGAAAGCCAATTGGTTAATATTAAATCCTGCTCAGTGCCACTTTGTAGTGGTCCCCAACAGAGGCCGAAGACTCCCAAATTAAACTTCATCCATTTCCAATGGGCCCTCCCCTCAGAGGAGGTGCCCGTGGCAGTTAGCTCAGGGGCCAAGCTCTGCTCTCTCCTGGGCCCCCTGCAGCCTGGGCTGGCTGTGGGCTTTCCAGGAGTGGCTGCTGGTCATGGGGCGGAGAGAGAGGAGGCCAGAGCAGGCCAGCGACTTCCGGGCAGTGTTTTCCTTACTGTGCGTCAGGCGGAGAGGTGGGACTCAGTGTTGAAGAAGATGCCAGGCCAGGAAGAAGCATGTGCAAGAAAGGCTTAGGAGTAGGGGAGCCCTCTGGGGAGTCCTGGAAGGACCCGAAGGCAAGAGGTGTCCTGGTGACCCACAGGACCGTGTAGTTTTCAGAGAGTAGCAGATTCATGAGCCTCCATGGCTTGGGTCCCGAATCTGTAGGACTGCAGCAAAGGCCTGCTTAGAAGTGACTCCCAGAGTGCATGTAGGTGAATTTTTGTTTCGGGGTACAGGGGACGGAGCCCAGGCCCTCAAGCATGCGAAGCAAGTGTTCTGCCACTGAACTGCACCGAGCTGGTGAATTCTGGATTCCCGAATTTTCCAAGTGTAGCACATTAGGGAGATGAGAAATCAGCTTCCCTTTATCACATGTGCCTCAAGCTGATGCTAACATACGGAGAGTCTACTTTGAGGGAGAAAAGTCTCAAGTTAGCTGTTTGGAAAACGATCCCATTTCGGGCAAGAAGACAAGGCAGAAACTATGTTCCGGGCTCTTTATGAATGAGATGCAAGTGGCTTCTGAAACCTGGCTTTTCTGTAAGAACCTTCATTCTGTCCACCTCGGTGGCCTGAGGGGTAGGACAGAGTTATAAATCCAAACTCTTAAGCAACACTGAGTTCCCTTTAGCTGCCAGCCCAGGAAGGGTCCTCACAAGGCCCTGAGCTACTCTTTCAGGCCAGCAGTGTCCCTGTTTAAGGGGACCAGGAGTGTCCAGGGCATAGCTGGCTGGTCCAGGGGACACCACTGCCTGATGATGAGTCACAAGTGCTGTCATACACGGAGAAGGATCACCACCCAAGTGTTACACACTGTACTGGCTGTGTCCCAGGAACCAAGAGAAAAAGACAGAGAAGGCGGCATGGGTCCTGACCAGTAAATCAGGACATGCAGTCAAGCTGAGAAATAAGCCCCGTGGAACACAGAGACAATTAAGATTATGAGTTATTTTTAGCAGGGCGGAGCAGCAAGTCAGGGAAAGCTTCTTATCCACTTTGAGGTGAAGTTTGCAAGACAAATGATCGCAGACCACTGACGGCCAAGATTTCATCTCAGAGACGGAGCCGAGGGAGGGAGGGATGTGTGGCAGAACTAGTGGTGTTCACCGAGCCGAGCTGATAGAAGCTAGCTGCTCACTGCTAGCTGAATGAGCTGGGCCACTTTCATGTCGGGAAAACTATTTGCTGTCAAACTTTTTAAAGAATTCAACGAAGAAACCTCTTACAATTATTTTTTAACACTTATGAACACAGTTCATGTTTAATATAAAAATGCCTTTATTTTCTTGTGAAAATGGCTAAATGTAAAGATGCAGGGAACATCCTAAACTTGCTCATCCCTTCCCCAAGGTGATTAGAGGCTCACTTGGAATGGAAAAACTGTAAGATAAGCCACGAGAACGGTTAGACATTTTTGTTAGGAAGTCATTTTTGAAGTCTTTAATGAAGATGGTTAATGTGCTACTAAATGATTTTCTCCCAAGTTCAAGTATTTTCTTGGTCCCATGTTCTATAATTTTTTTTTCTTTTTGGTACTGGGAATCAAATTCAGGGCCTCACACTTGCCACACAGGTGCTGTTATCACTGAGTTACATCCCTGGCCCTCCATGTTTTATACTGGAAAGTACTGTACAAAACATTTTTAGGGACAAGAGATGCTTTGCCATGCAAAGTTTTCTGCAATGACATGCTTTTTCAGATGAACTGATTCACTTTTATTTTACACATTCACGCCTGGAATATTAACCCTCCTTCAACAGTAACTGAGAACCTTGTAATCCTGAGGCGGGAAAATTGCAAGTTCAACCCCAGCCTGGGGCACTCAAGCAAGACTTTGTCTCAGAATATAAAAGGGGGAGTGTTGACTCTGTTTGAAGGCTCAAATTTCAGTCCCTGTACTGAAGAATAAGAAACCAAGAACCTCTCTGGGAATTTGAGTTGCCTTGTAATTCCTGGGTTTCCCCCAGGGCACAAATTCTAGGATTTCCAGGAGAATCTGACTTTGACTTCTAATCCTGTAGTACATGTGACGTTTTACTCTTACGAGGTGTACAGATACTGAATTTCAAAAGTTCTAGTGTGACCAAATCCAGGTGTAAAGTTGAAAAGCTCATTCAACACTCCGAAATTCTGATGTCCACACTGACCTGTTAAGAAAGCTCCTGAAGCCTATACAGGTAGACTTAAGATCAAGTAGAGCCGGGAGTGAAGCGGGTGGAAGGTGGAATGACAAACATAAAAAGGGTGGGGAGGACAGCGCAGCAGCCCGGACAGTGCTCACTAACTCTGTCCTGTCCCCTCCCTCTGGCTTCTGGTCTCTCCTAGGCCTGCCCTGCCTGAGAAGAAGGCAGTGGATCTCAGCACCCTGAATGAAGTGGGCTATCAGATCCGAATCTAGCCAAGCTCTGGCGGCCAGCAAGAGGGTTTTGTGGTGCTTCACTCTGCACTTTACCCAGCATCTTCAGGAGGAACTGCAATTATTTATTAAGAACTTGTGAATTTTATTTCTAAGGATTCACCTGGAAATAGAATCTGAGTGGATGGGAACAATTAGCTTTAAAAAAACTCCCACAGAGGCACCCATGAAAAGGCTAAAGAAACCCCACCGGGGTTGGACTGTCTCCCTCCCTCACGATCTCAAGGATAACAAACATGAACTGTAGTTTTATACTTCTCCATTTACTTTGTTTTGCTGGCTTTGAACATTATGCCTCACCAGTAGCGAATGTCATGAAGTCCCCTCCCCCACTTTTGGTATAGTAAGATCACTCAGTCAGTATTAGTCTCTTTCAGCAATAACAGAAGCAAGGATGGGTGGGTTTTTTTTAAGCAGTTAATATTACCTCAGCATTTTTACATCAGATATGCAAACTTAATGAAGTTTTGGTTTTTTATATTCTATTTGTATTGTTTCCCCACTGTTTCCCATGGGAATTTCTACACGTTTGGAATTTCTTCCTGGTGCACACGTGATGAGATTTAAGGTATTATATGCAAGTGTTTTACAAAAAAGCACTACAATTCTTCTGGCAATACGGGAAACCATTTTTAGGATCTTGGAGTTTCTTCTTAATCTTTCTGAAAGCATCCACTGGTGGCAATTTCTGTTCTTACAAAACAAGCACATTTGGAAGTTAGTCTTGTTCTGTCATTAGCATTTGAACTTTGCAGAGTCCAGCAGAAAGCACAAGAGGTCATGTGCTTAACACAGGCTCAGCAGCGTCGCGATTACCTCAGACGTAGCACACTCAGAAAGGCAGAGACCAGGAGCGAACCAGCGGGTCTTGAGCACTAGTAACCTTTCTGTTCACACGTCATCTGACTTTTAAACTCGAGTCAGGCTCTGATTCTCAAGGACTTGCTCTCATTAAACACGTGTTCCGATGTCTTATATTAAGGCATAATGAGATACATGATTATTTTCCAGTTCCGTGCTTTCAGGTGTCACACTTCAGAACATTTAGGAAGTACAAAATATGTTAGAGAAACAGAACTTTTTTTAAAAGGGAAGTCTTCTTGTACAAGGCTACATCTTGTGTGCTCCGTCCACGAGGCTGCACATCTAGGTTATGGGACAGCTTCTAAGGTCGTGCACAGTCTGTGTGTTCCAAATAGCAAGAGCAGAGCTTCTGTTTCATTTGTTTCTATCTCAGCAGCCACGCCAACTCGTGAGACCAAAGGACAGACTTAAGTGAAGTGTGCTAGCGCACAGGTGTTATTTCAATTCTCCGACTGAGGATGGAAGTAATGAAAAAGGAAAGTAACGAAAAAGTGAGGAAACTGCTTTCTGACAGTCTGGAGGTGATGGGAAAGCAAAAGAGCTTCACCCTTCAGTTGTGTGCGCAAGAGCTCACTTTACTGTAAAAAGCAGCGTTATTAACGAAAGTACTGTTTTCCTGTCGAAGGAAGCCATATGTCTCATTTAGACTAAAATACAACTTAAGTTAAAAATTCTAAACTTAATCACTTTCCTCAAGTGTAGTACTGTCAGTTAGTTTAAAATTGTTAGGGTTACAGATGTGGCTCAGTAGCACAGCTCATGCTTAGCCCGCGCAAGGTCCTAGGTTCCATCACCAGCACCAAAGTCACCTTCATCTGTCTCCACACGCTATACCCATGTGTGGCCGCACAGCCGCATGTACTGAGGTTTTTGAAATGGCAGTGCATCATTTCTCACTCTGAAACAATACTGACTTAATCATGTATGTTCTTTTTATCCACCTGAAACTTTATTATATGAATATTAGACTACTTAAAACACTGCAGCCATTCACAGAGCTTGGAGTACCATTTGCCAAGCATTACTTAAGGACCACCCCATCACCGACACAGAAAGTCAACTAGTTGCATGGCTTCTTGTTTCCTACAAGAAAAAAAGGATAGGAATATAAAGTGGTTGCTGATATGCTGACATATGAGCCTTAAAATTGCCAACTGGCCTAATGATTTCATTAGTAACCTAATTTCCTCCACATGCCTTGATTTTTAGATTTGTGTTCCCAAATCAAGGGTTAGTCCCAGAAACATGAAAATTCATTTAAAATGTTCTGAAAAATTCTATTTCTACTGCCTATAGAATATTGATTTCTGTAACTATAGGGAAGTCACCAAACTCCTAAATTCTATTGGCAATAATACAATTAATAAAAAAACTCCAACAACCCCAAGATGACCCAACTAAATAACAAAACCAACATATTTCACTTCCCAAAACTGATTTTAAGATTGGCTGTAATTCAAAAGATAAAAAAAAAAAACAAACACTGAGATAATCTGGAATCTTTTTTTAAAAAAGTAATTATGCAAGAGAAATTTTATGGTGAAGCCAACACTGGCAATGTATGCAAAGTTTAAATGAATGACAGAAATCTTGATTTGAGACTAATTGTGCTAATTTGAGTACACTTCATTTCAGAAAGTGGTATTTAGTATTTTCTATATATACTGAAATCATGAACATTTCACTTTTTCTATGTCAATTATTTCATAAGGTTTTTATTAATTGATATTGGTAAACAGAACTTTGGAAATCTTAATTCAGTATTCTTACTATACCCAAGGCTTTTTGTAAGCTATAGTTTTATGTACAATCTTGTACAGTTTTTTTGACATACAATTCAGAATCTTGTTTATTCTCTTGGACTTTGTTCTGGCCAATACGTTTTTTTTAAATCTTTAAGAAAAACTGTGATTGTTTTAGTGGGTATTTTTCTAAGTAAATGAAAACTTGTATAATGGTATTTTAGAGAGTGCCAGATAAGTGCATGCTTCAAGTTAACTCTTTTCCTCATCACTTGTACGTTTATACACAGCATGAGACTTTAATAAAACCATCCTGGCAAGCTAAAGATTGCTTCCTTTTCTTTCTCAAATGTAAGATGGTGTGATATGGCTCCTCGTCATCTTATTTCATACATGTTCTAACGAATTAATCTATCATCCTCAACTCTCCTCTTTTATAGTTTCCAAACTCAAATATTAAACATGATTTCCAGACTCAAAATATTAAACATTATTTTGGCATCTCAATTAACTTGTCTTTTAGCATCACTTACATAATACAGGCTGCAAAGGGAATGAAATAATAGTTGTTTGAAGAGCACAAGTTCAGCATGTACAGCTTAGGACCCCTACCACACAATCTGCAGGCACAGACACGTAAGTACGATAATTTATTACATGATTTACAAGTACGAAGTGCAAGTGACCTCATGCTGTTTCCCCAAGCCCTTGAATTCCCCGGCTCTTTTTCTAGAAAAGCAAAGGGTTAAAAGCACATAGTAGTTAAGTTCTCAAAAAAAAAAAAAAAACACAAAGGATTTCAAACATGCATATTATCTTGATATGCAAAAGCACAATAAAACCAAAATCTTACTATAATTTTTCTTTGCATCTAGAGGTTGGATAGTAAAACGTTTTGGTTTCTGCAATTAATTGGATTTGGTCTTGGCAGGTAAATATGAGGCTCCAGCAGAGTTATCAACTCTTCTGGTCAAAAAAAGTAAAGATAGATAATTTAAGTAATCACTTTCAGTGCAGCTTTAGAAACTTGTGAGAAGGTCACACTAGCCTGTAGCTTCTGGTCCACAATAACACGCCACTTGATAAGCTAAAGTAGAAAGCAATATTATGGATTCTTGTCAAAGTGAAGAACAGGAAATGGGCTTAAATTGACTATATTTATTAGGTATAAAAAAAAATTTTCTCAGAGGTTTTCAGGGATGTCATTTTGCTCACAATGACCTATACATAACAGTTACTTGCTAATAAATTCACTCAATTCAAACAAGTAATTAATAAATGAATTTTCATTTCTTTCCCCAATACTAAAAAAGGATATTATACTATCATTACAAATTGATGATGATTATATCTGCTAGCCAGGACATTTGATTTTCTGCAAACAACTACTAAAAACTGTGGAAAATCTGGGAACTATATATATATATTTTTTTTTTTTTTTTGGTTTTTTCTCCGGTACCGGGAACCGAACTCACGACCTTGCGCTTGCCAGGCAGGCGCTTTTTGCCGCTGAGCTAAATCCCCAGCCCCTAACTATATATATTTAATACTGTAAGTAAAAACTGAAAAAGTGAGAAGTCAAACATTTAAAAGTACTTGCTTATTACAATTCTTACAAGACAAATCTTTATAACCTGTATGCCTTCTTTTGAACTTTCATCTGATTTAATTTTTAAAAATAATTATAGTAAGCATTTGGTACAAAAATTTTAAAGTCCAAGACTATTGTTTTTTTCCGAGTTAAGGTAAAACATTCTATTTAAAAAAACTCACTGTAAAAAATGTTTACAGCTTAGTGCAAAGTGACTACCTAGTAAAAACGCCTGTAACTCTTGAGCCTACTGTCTACAAAAAAAAGGACATTTGTACTTACTTTGTTTCAAAAATGTTTATTCAAACATTTCTCTAGAATTGACTACAGGCTTTATATTAAACCTGCTCATAACCAACCACCTCATAAAAAGTGTTAGCACCACCTCACCCTGGTGTGTCATTATGAAACAAAACAAAGAGAGAAAAAGGAAAAACCCTTACATAGTTAAAAGGACTCCTGAAAGAGCACTTGGACACAGGTTAGTATTTCCCCAGGAGAGCTTCACAACTTCTTCATGTTCCTGAGCCACACCAAAAATAATCTCATAGCTGCCACTTTGTTCCAATGACAATTGTCATAATGAAAACAAATGTCTACAGAATTCAGACAAATGTCTACAGGTTCAGTAAAGTAAATGTCTTCCTCAGCCCAGGCATCTATTCTTCCAACTAATTTAAAAAAGAGAAAGAAAAACAAACACACAAAAAACAATGCTAGAAAAACAGGCAGAGCCCCCGTCTCTGCTTCTCTGAGGTGGAAAGAGCAGGCATATGCGAAGGGTTTATGCTCTTACCAGGTACAGCAGCCCACATTTCCCAAACATTTTCTCAACCAGCTGTACACGTGTCCATGGAATAAGACGGAGCAAGTTTTCTGCCTAGTTTAGAAAGCACTATCCAGCCCCTTCAGATACGAAGATGATTGACACTGGTAGATGACCCAGTGGTTTCTTAGGTGAACTAATTAGGACTCCACAAAGGGCTTCCCCAAAGAGACCAGGCCTCGCAGAGAGGAACCAACCTGTGGTTTGCAAGAACCCACACAGTCTGGAGCCACTATAAAGCTTGCCAAAAACATGAAGTGAAATTCTTCACTAAGCAGACTAAGAAGATACGCCACATTTAAAAACCACTATCAATTTTACTAGAATTAGAATAAAAAATATTTACACCTCTTTTACAATAAAGAGTATTTAGATCTTGTCTGGAAAATATTTTTCATTGTTAAAAAAGAAAATGATTATAAACTTGTTTCTTCTGGTATCTGTTACTCCATAGCACAAAAATAAACAACATGCAAACACTGAACTTTACATGTGTTGAAAAAGCACATAAATTGGAAAAAAATTATGTACACAACCAAAGAGTCAGAGCTCAAGTCTGAATTTAGCCAACAGAGGCAGATGATCTGAAGAGTTATTTTCGTTTGGAAGTCCGTTAACAGTCCATAAGTCCTCCTCTGTGAGAAGCGACAGTCTAGCCAGAAGTTTCAAGCCACCAGCCAAAGCAACTTCAGCTCCTACATTACAGAAACACACAGATTTAGGGAAACTGTCATGTCAACAGGCTATTGCAAATTAACTGTATAAATATTTTTTCTAAACAACAACAGAACTTGAGGTGTGCTGGTGCACGTCTGTAATCCCAGCAGTCAGGAGGCTGAGGCAGGAGGACTGCTGTGAGTTTGAGGCCAGCCTAGACTATAATAGTGAGTTCATGGCCAGCCTGAACTACATAGTGAGACCCTGTCTCAAGAAAAAAAAAAAAAAAAAGAAAAAAAGAAACAGCTTGAGACCCAGTCCAGGAGATTAATAGGAAAATTTTTACAACATGATTAATTTTGTTGAGTTTCACAGCATTTCAGATGTTCCACAAATAATTTTTAGAAGAAAATATTAATGGAACACACAAAATTTTTAATAGTTTGAGCCAGGTGTGGTGGTGCACGCCTGTAATCCCAGCACTTAGGGTCTTGCTATATAGTTCAGGCTGGCCTTGAACTCACTGTGTAGTCCAGGCTCGGCTCAAACTCGCAGTGATCCTCTTGCCTCAGCCTCCTGAATGCTGAGATTACAGGCGTGTGCCACCATACCCAGCTAAAAATAAAATTTTTTAAAAATCAATTTTTAAAAATATTTTGAGATTGACAGCCACCTAATTCATCTACCAGCCACTCTTTTTGCAAAAGACCGAACAGACCCAAACTACAGCCACATGAGTAGTTTATAAGGTGAGTGGAGATAAGTTAGTATCATTCAGTCTCAGAGCTGCCCTGGAAGCAGAATGAAAGGTGACAGTGTCTCAACACTGTTTTGAGCAGCTGATCCATGACTCTCTTCTGCCACCTAGGGCACTTCTGTAGACATGACATCTTCCCGGCCTTACTACGAATTCAAAGGAGCAAACTTCATCATAGCTTGATTTAGTGGGAGGAGTAAGCACTTCCTGAGTGTTACTAATATGGTGATCCCCAGATGGAAGGGAAAGGATGAACCAGAAAAGCATAAAAAAATAGGAGAAAAAAAAAAAGGAAACAAGCTGCCCACACTCAGGACTTCCGAGATTTCTGAATAGTATTTTTAGATCTCCAGTTATTTTTTTCCCTCATTTTATATCCTTTGGTTATTCCATCTCATTTTCGCTAAGTCATACAAGGAAAATCACCTTTGCTTTCTGCAAACACACAGTACTATTACACCTTCCTTCCTTTGGTCATTCCATCTCATTTTCGCTAAGTCATACAAGGAAAATCACCTTTGCTTTCTGCAAACACACAGTACTATTACACCTTTCTTCCTTTTCAGAAAGAGCCCACATTCCAGGGGCAACAGAACACCGCTGTCTGTGTGGGCAGCATAAGCATGGTCCTACAACGGGGGCAGCGCACTTAGTAAATGTACGACGACCACGAAGATTCAGTTTCTATCATGGCTCAAATAGTACATTTACGGCAAGTGAAAATAAAGGGCAATATGAAAGGCCTATAATTCAGAAGCTAACCGAAACTGATGGAAGCACTGAGGATGTGGTTCTTAAGTAATAATTCGCTTTGGGGATGTTTTACTGCCTTCCTGATCAAATGCAGGCAATAATCTGATGCCTTCAGGTATACTACCACTCCATCTATTTAAAAACATTTTTAACTTCTACATCTAGAACTTCATCTAGATGAAGCTAACTTTTAGATTAACTTTAAAACATCAGCCCTGGAGGGTGAGCTCCTGTTCTCTCAAGCAGAATGAAGATCGCCCAGTCTTTACCTGGGTGCCCAGCACCGTCTTCCTTTTCTGCAGAGTAGAAAATATAATCCACAGTTATGGCACTTCGGGAATGACAGGTGGTCACTTCTGGAATTCCAGTGTCAGGAAAGTAATGTGAGTAAACAGAGGACAAGCTGAAATGGTGTTGTAAACTTGAAGATAATCTAAATTGAAAAGAGAAAGTATTTATACTCTGTGAGTTTTTCAAGACTTATATAATTCCTCCTATTGAAAGTACTTTCTCATTTACTCCCTAGAATGAGACCAAATGTGGATATTTTATTTAAACAGACCACATCATAATGTCATTCATTTATTCATGCAGAGAGACCTGGGAGGCTATACATGGAGGGGGATTGTGAAAAGCTCAATTACTAGCATTCCAATGAGTCTTAATTGTTTATGACATGTTTAAGAGCCTCCAATTAATGAACACATATTATAAAACAACTTAGCATTTTGGGGGTTGTTTTTAAGAAAGAAAATTAAAAAGGATAAATAGTATTTAGGAACGCTATCTGGTACTCTCTAGACTTCGGAAGTCAGGGCGCCATCTCTGTTATTTTTATTCTAATGTGTAAGACATTTTGTGCCGCATCTTAAGACAGGGCCTATGATGGTGTACATGTACTCCATGCCACAAATGCAAGGGATCAGTCATTTTCTAAGAAGACATCATGTACTTTATGGATCACTTATGCCATGAAGGAAAATAAAATTTTTAGAACATTTTAGAATTCATTAAATATTCACCAACATCTACAAAGGCACTATCTGATGTGCTGAGGAGACAGATCGAGATGTGGACCTTGCTTTTAATAAGCTTGATGTCAGTGACCAAAGGTTATTTCTGGAAGTGACTTTCTAACAAGTCTAAGAACTTCTCTACAGTATTATGAAATGTAAGTCTCTGCAACTGTAATCTTACTATCAGTTTTTCATAGCTTATTAGTCAGATTAGTCTTTTTATTAATCATAGGAGAATGTTTTTTATATTTGAAAGGTTTAATCATGAATTTCTCAATATTTTTATAACATTAAAAATTGCTTCACTTTTTCTAGGTTTTTATCAGAGAATATTTTTGCAAAACAAGGTATAAAAAAATAAAATTGAAAGCAGATAAAATGTAGGAGATTGTTTCTAATTTGGTCCCTAAATATACGTATTAAAGAGTCACAATATAAAGTACTCAAAACATTTCAAGAATCTTCCAAAGAGACTTGTTATATCAAAATATACCCACTCCTCAACTACAGCCCTTAACATTCACATTTCTTAATGTGAGTTTTATCTGTCTACCTCTGATGTCCTCTTCTTGAGAGTTCAGAAGACAAATAAAAATAATCATCTTTCCTACTGGCATATTCTTTCTTGGATCAATTGTCCCAGATTGTTTTGAGCTCTAGTAGGTCAAACAAGACTGTGAAATTAGAAAGATGTCTTCCTGCCATCTCGGCCACTGATTAAATTTCAAAGACACTTAAGTTGGTCTAGGCCCACAGACAGATTGCTTCCTTTCCTAACACTACCTACGCATCGACTATTGTACTTTATTTGCTTCGTCTCTCTCAATCTTCACAACCCAAAACTATAGACAAGAAAACAATCTCAGAGATGTGAAATTTCTTGCACAAAATCACAAAGCTAAAATGCAGCAGAGTCACGTTTCGATTCGTGTCAATTTCACACAAGAGCCAGCACTCTCTTCCATCAGGACGTAGTATCACCTTCATCTTCAAACCAAGTAATTTTTGAGAAATGATTTCTTATTCAACTAGTCAGGAAATATCTACTGTTGCTTTCCAGAACTCACTTTTCAGCTGTGACTAGAACCTCTGTTTTCTCCAGCTGTGTTTGTGTCAGGTCACCATCTGTAAGAACAGAAAGAAATACATTAATCCTACTGACAGTGTTTTGCACTCGTCTGTCTTAGTCTTGCCCTCTTACTGTAGTGTCGGTCTTTAGGGTGTATCTAGACATGCCTTGTTAAATGTTTTATCCTGGAGCCTATGTCTTGATGGTCTCCAGAATTAGAAAAAATATAATGCAGCAATTTCAAGGCAACATGCAAGTAATTCATGCACAGATAATTTTAGCTGTTTAGTGTTTAAAAAGTAAATTTAAAGCTCTTAAAAAACAAAGGAATGAACAAACAACTATCAATATTCATCCTTGAGATGCTGTCCCTTTAAAATGCAGTTTTATGCCTTCAAAGGGAACCCTATTCCCCAGCCGCTGCCACAATGTACTGTGAACACTTACCTGACTTTTCTACTTTTGGTACCTGCTGTACCTCATACACACAGTTCTGTGAGATACCTAGGTTTGGGGGCCAAATTGGAATAGATAAAATTCTTTGTCCCCGTGAAGACTGTTCTTGGCCAGATACCTAAACAAAATTTCAACAGGTATCTTAAGTGAATAGATTTTAGATAATTTATGTATTGAAAAGTTATGTCTTAAATAAAAGTAATCCAAGAATGGTAAATATATTACCCTTTCTTCGTTCATTAATTATTTGTGCATATAAAATCATGTTCAAATATACTTCAGAAAGCACTTACTGTTTACATGAAAATGACAATCTTCCCCTACACTTTTTCTCTATTTGAACACTGAAATGGTCGGTAGCTTTCAACTAATCAAATATTGAGAAGGATCAAGTCTTTTAAAATTTAAAACTATCGCTCAAAATTCCAGTGAAGAAGAGCTTATTTTGGTTAAATATACTGAGAATTAAGTGATTTATAGTAAGCAGAGGAAAGCACAATAGAAATAATAGTATGGACTAAATTATACTAACCTAAAGAATGAAAATATGTCTCACTGTATAAAGAAAAACTTATATAAATATGAAATTAGTTTTGCCAACTATATTGTCCACATCCAACATGCAAAATTCTATCCTGCCACCATGTAAACATTCCTTATTTGTGAGGTACCCGGGTCTGTTGATACTTTTTCTTCTTCTCCCTGCCTGTCCTCCCCATTTTTGGCTGCCTGCTAATTCCTCCAAGCAGAATGCTGCCAAAGACATGAAATAAAGGTAAAATTAAACCAAGTGCAGAAACCTATTGAGTGGTAGCTGGGGAAGGTCATCGCAGCATGACAAAGTGAGGTAATGGTTCATCTGAGGTTTTCAACAGCCATGTAACGAGTATCCTCATGTTAGGACAGACAGAGCCACGAAATTCATCTCCTGGTAATGATGAAGTGACCACTTACCTTTCCTATAGCAAGTCCTTCATAATTCAACCTTCCTTCCTTTATGAAACTATAGAGTGGAGAACCAGGAACAGAGTTAAAGTCACCACACATAACAATGGGACAGAAACTGCCATCTTTCTGGTGAGCAACACTGGAAATCTCTGCCAGCAGCATTGCCAACTGGGTCAGCTTAATATCACCTCGCCTTGGGTTGTACAACAAGTGTGTATTAGCTACACAGATCGCAGGCGAGTCAGCACAGGGTATTTTGGGCTGCAAGAGTAAAACTAATCCAATATTGTCTCTGTCCAAGAGAGGGATATCACGGCGGTAGAATTCCACTGGGTTCACTGATAAGAGTGAAAACTTGGAATGTTTGAAGCAAATGGCACAGCCATCGGGTTTCCTTCCTGTGCGCATCTTATATTCGCAGTGATAACCTGTGAGAAAGAAATGAATTTAAAACAAGGGACTGTTCTCATGCAGTACACATATGTGTTTTGACATCGCTTCCCCACTAGTCATGTAGGATGGTAGTAAGTGTGTAACCAAAACGTTTAGGACTGGGTTTAACAGGTCTCTTACTGGCAGACTTTAGTGCGGAGTACGCTAGTGTGTAGCAATACTCTCCCAGTTCCAATGGAGTGAAACTCGGTCAGGGCACTGACAGTGAGGACTTAGAAAAATCTGCCTCTCCTCCCCATCTCATATCTGGTCTTTCTGCCTCTACCTCTCTCCCCCTCACTCCATTCACAGTATCCTGGCTTCCTCCCTTGCCTCAAATACATTCCAACCCCAGGAATTCCTGCTGCAGAGTGCTCCAGACCTCGCTTATTCCTGCACCTTTTTTAAGCCTTTGTTCAAGTATCAATTTGTCCAATTATTTTGCTTAAAACCTCTTCCACTGCACTTTCCTGTTTCTCTCCAGAAAACTACCATTACTAAATATGCTTGCCACATATTTTGTTCAGTGTCGGCTTTTCTCCATAAAGGAGGAAACTTTTTACTTGTTTTTCCCAGTGTTCTTTCTATTCTACTAGAACAGTAGACAGTAGGTACTGAAAAATTAGTTGGGAATGAATGCAAAGTAGCGCATTTCTCAAATTTATGTGACTACAGATGACTGGTTTATGAAAGCGTTTCTTCAACAGGTTTTAAGCTTTTATTCATTATGAAGCTTAAAATCCTGCAGCTGTAGTGATGAACAGGAAGCATGGTCCCTGCACTCATGTAGCTCAGAACCCTAGATGTGTACTAGGCGAGGGAACTCCTGGGCAAGGAGCAATTCCCAAATGAAATACTTCACTCTTTCTCTGACCTTTTGAAATACATACACTTTCAAAATTAATGTTTTTTTAGCCCAAATATGCCATATATTTTTGATTAGAAGTTATGTTTTAATAACTAACAAATTTTCAAAAGTACATCTAGCTAAAATAAAAGTTATACTATACCCAGCGATTCCAGACTTGGCCTGATTTCTTTTCCATAATGATCTTCTTGAACTTCTTGCAGACAAAGTACCTTGGAAGAAAAAAGTGACTTGGATCACCATATAGAGATGCAAGTGTGAATGTTCTAGTACTTTTGTCTTTAAAAATAGGCTTCTTGAGAAAAGAAGGAAAAACTGGAAACAAAGCTTTGCAAATGGGGAGGGAAAGAGGGGTTGAAGGGAAGGTGAAGAGAAGGTGGGGGAATGGAAAAAAAGGAATCAAGTTATATCGTGTACAGTACAAATTCTCTAGGATGAATGTGATCATTACGTATATCTAAAATGCACCAATAAAATCTGATTTAAAAACAGAAAGAAATAGGCTTTTGAAATTTCAAACTTGAGAACTGAAATAAAAGACTTATAATACTTGTTATTTCTAGATCAAATCAGTGTCTCCAAATTTGATCAATCTCAAAACTCTGGCCCTTTTATCACATGGCACTCTCTCACCATCCAAAAGTTGCTATTTCTCAAAAGAAATATTTTCAATTTACATGTCAGATTATGTTTCTTGAAGGTTAATTAGTACTAGTGTTCTGGGTCTTAGGTTGACTTCTGGTTTTGTTTTTGTCTTTTTGAGACAGGGTCTCGCTATGCAGTTCAGGCTGGCCTTGAGATCACTCTGTAGCCCAGGCTGGTCTCAAACTCGCAACAATCCTCCTGCCTCAGCCTCCCGAGTGCTGGGATTACAGGCGTGGGCCACCATGCCCAACAGGTTGATTTCTTTGAATGCTATCATCTATATGGAATTTTTCATAAATTGTTAAAATTCAAATAAAAATATTTACTTAATATATTGCCAATCCCTATCTCAAAACTGGTCAATATTTAAAACCTTTCAGATCCTTTTAAAAAAAAATCAGATGACTATTTATACAACCCACTAGCAATGACTCTTAAAGTCATAATACCTTGTTAAGAACTGCTCCATTACCCTTAAGATCTTCGCTTCTTTCCCCATAAACAAAATGTGTAAGACCATTTTATTCCCAAATGCACAAAGGAAATATTTAATTCAACTTTTCCTTCTGTGGGAAATTTTGATATTTTGCACTTACATCCGCATCAAAGTGTTTAATTTCTTTTAGAATATTGGGAAACCTAAAACTCCAGTGTAATACTGGCCGTCGGCAGTGTCTGTAAAGGTGCGAATTATCTTCCAACAAATCCTGTGACAGTATATTGTAGGACATCACTGAAAAGTCAAACTTGTTCTCACTGTCTTCACATTCAGGATTGACATTTTTGTCACCCAGGATCTTGGCATTTTCTTTATTATGGTTACATACATATTCCCAGTTCCTTTTTATCATGCCTGTTAAAATATAGGAGACAAAGCATAAAGAATCAATAAAAAAGAGACCATGTAGTTTCTTGTGTAGAAGTATCTTCTTTTTAAAAATTCTCATAGTCAATGAATTAAAATGTTTTTCCCTAGAAAATGGCAATATAGCACTGACTAACTAGAAGTTGTCATCAAATTGATTACAAAGGCAGCAAAACGACACAGTGACTGATCAAGGGGTATACAACAGGCTTACAAGGATCTAGCAAGTCATTCTGAAGGCTGCAATCATGTGCTAATAAAACTATGACTATATACAGCGGTTGTGCTTTCTCTATTCTTCTGGTTAAGAAGCAGTTCTACTACAGACATACTTAGCACCTTTATAACCATAATGATATATCTGTATGTCACAGCTTGCTTTTCAATGAGGTGATTTCACACTACATTTTATTTCCTATTAGTAAGATAAAATTATCCAACGATTAAATGAGGTCCAGAAAAAACTCTCAGTTCAGAATTCTGGTTTACACATGAATGGAGCTGGCATAATGGCAATGTATGGAAGCAGTATTTAATGTTTAAAACATTAAGATGGAACAGCTGCAGATATCGCTCAGTGGCACACTGAGCTAGCCTGGCAGGCGCGAGGTCCTGAGTTCAATTCCCAGTACCAGGAAAAAAAAAAAGATGGAACAATGCAAACAAAATGAACACAAAAAATCTTTTTAATGTACACAAAAGCAAAAATTAAATGAGACAATTACAAAACACCAGTCAACGATAGCTGGCTGACAAACCCAGCAAGCAACAACCAGGAAATGTGTTAGTTTATACTCTGCAAACAACATGCTCTCTGAAAAAGTGATGAAGAGAATAAAAAAGGATGAGGTTCATCATTAGAAGTAGTCCTCAGAAATTACTAACACGTGTGTGTACACACACATGCACACACCCATATATTCACCTTTGATCTTTATCTCTTGCCCCACCATTAAAAAGGACTTACTGCCATGGAAGCTAGCAAGAAAAACATGGAACTTTTAGAGACACTGTGCACTCAAAAGGAGAAAACAATAGGAAGAACCTGGATTTGGAGATGGACTTCCAAGCATGATTGGGCTACATGAAAAGTCAGCCCTAGACTATCTTCCTCTATCTTGCATGGAGGCTTCCATGTTATTGCAATGCCTAAAATATTACCAATGAGAAACTAAATTGAAGTTAAAATATTCTATATGCTTACATATGGGTGAAAAAAAGGAAATACACTAATATTTTTAAAAATATCTGTGTAGGATTGTATGAGTCTTTTCCAAATCTTCTACAATGACATATTTACAATCAAAATATCGGGGCTGGGGATTTAGCTCAGCGCCACAGCGCCTGCCTGGCAAGCGCGAGGTCATGAGTTCAATTCCCGGTATGGGAAAAACAAACAAACAAACAACAAATACAATCAAAATATCAATATACTATAAAAAATACAAATGAAACTGTAACTTTTTTTTTTTTTTTTGGTTTTTGTCCGGTTTTTTGGTTTTTAAATCCCCAGCCCCATGAAACCGTAACTTTAAAAAAAACTTTGGTGAATTAGTTTCTTCAGATTACTCTTCTCAGTAAGTAATCTGCTGCAGTGAGGAACAGAACTTTTGATCAGAGGACAGAAGAGGAAGATAATTTGCATGACTAGCAAGGTCTGGATGGAACAACGGGGTTGGAGATTTATGATACCATGAAGGTACTACGAGAAGGGTAAAGAAAAATATGGAAAGTAACAAAACCAAACTAAATCAAAGTTTTTCACTACTACAGAATTTTGCCTAGAGCTTTTCCTGTGCCGGGGAGAGGGAAGGAAACTATCTCATTTCTTGTCCTTCACTGAATATGGAGTTTCCCAGCCCCTATGGGCTCAGAACTAAGCTAACTGTACCGGCTATACAGAACTCCTCTGAATGTTTATTACACCACTAATAAACTGGAGATTACCAACGAAGGTGTCTGCCATGAAGCAAAGTCTTCACATGTACACAAGGTAGAAAGGGCTCTAATCATGCAAACGAAATGTAAGCTACCATCACAAATACAGCACTACCCTGGTTCACTGTCATATTAAAATATGAAAGACAAAGGTGTAAAAAAACCTTGTTCATCGTTCTTTATAAAATACATATATATAATGGCTTTTAAATGCACTAAGATTTTTATGGCACTGATAAGCAGAGTTCGTAAATCAATTCTTCTTGCATTTTTTAAATAACCAGGACTATTGGATTATCTGATTAACACAGTGGCTCTCAAACCTCTATAGCTTGTAGAACCTTTTGCCACTGCTTCTCACGTCCTGGAACACCATCTCTGACATAGCAGGACTGATGCTGGGATGATGGGGTAAACACAGCTTTTACCCCGACCACCTTTGCTTTTCATAAACATACATGATGTGTTCAGATATGGGTTCCACGGAAGACACTGAACACCATGGACACAGTGGATAGTTCTGGTCTTCATATACTTCACAACATTATGTTCACACTACGAAAGCTTATATACCTTCCATGTCAGGAGGAACAAGGTGATCACAGCAGAGAAGACAGATGAATCAAAGAAAGTAAGCAATAAGCCTGATCAGGTTTTTGGGGTGCCTAATTATAAAGTCAGAATTGTGCCACACAAATCCTTCAAATATCACTTTTAAGTGATAGGTAATTTAGCAGTGCTGTTCTCTTGATTGAAAAGGATTAGTGAAAAATCAGAAGTCACAAACAGGGCTTAACGCAGAGCCTTTTCCTTATTCACAACACCTAGGAAGAACGGATACATAAACAGTCAGGTTTCGATCAAAGACGACCAATCTGTAAATGTCATTCCACATCCGTTAAAGGGAACACAACAACAACAGCACAATTTTCTGAGTACCTACTATGAAGCCCACATGTGTTAGGCACTTTGACATCGCTCATTTCATCCTTAATAGCCTCTCAAAGTGGGGGTTATTTTACACTAGGAAACCAAGGAGCAACGAGGCCAAGTAACTTTTCCGAATTCACACTAGTGGTGGGACAAACGAGGACAGAGAGTAGCACCTAAGCCCATGCTCATGCCATTGGGCTGTGGCTCCATCTGAGGGCACGGCAGACTTAGAAAGGATAAACAGAGGAGCATGCCCTGACCTGATGAACAAGGAATATGGATGTGAAGAACTATCTGAGGTTGCCATACAGATCTGGATTTACAGATCATGAACTGTGCCTAGGAATCTGATTTTAATGCCTCTAAATACACCTTTCACTCAGTCTAACAATTATCTCCACAGGAAATGGTTAAATGCTACACAAGCAGATTTTTACTTCTTAAGTGACTAGAATTTCTATTTACATGTGTTTTTTTCCTAAATCCTTTTAACTGTATA